AAGGAAGGAAGGAAGGAAAGAGGGAGGAAGGAAAGAAGGACGGAAGTTTGGGCTTTACAAGAACAAAACAATCAAATTTCTTACGGCAATTTTATAAAAGTCTTTTCACCATGAAGAACAAAATGAGGAATGGTTACTTAGGTCCTTTAAAAATATAGGCTTACACTTGATACCACGAAGGGTGCTTCTGAATAGATCAGATTCCTTTTCTGGTTAAATCAGAAGATAATCCAAGGGTTGTTTACAGGTTAAAACGTAAATGTGTGTTTCGACATACATTCTATCTAATAATTTTTTTGTATACCGGCATTTTTTATTGATTGATCTTAAAGTTTATCTCCAAACCTTTCGGTTTGTTTATTGATGGCTTAGCTGCAAATTTTTAAATATCGTCTTTTATTTAAGAAAGATAATTGCTAAAAGTATTTTTTTACTCTCACTGTTTAAATTTACGAAAACCTATCTCGGACTATTTACTATCGTTATTACCATTGAGATTAACAATGAGCAAGGTTTTCCAATCGAGACAATGATTGCAAATGTTCTTTTCCTAAAATGAATTAACATGTGTGGGCAAGTTTGCAATTTTTTTAGGCACATCTTGCACTATGTATATACTAAATCCTCATCAATTAAGGGTTTTTGTGGTTATACAACCAGTGGCATTACGAGATTTTTCAAATAAAAGAAAGAGTCGTGTTCACGAAATTAAAAACTTGGCTCTCTCCCGATTCCTAAAGACTCATTGCACTTTAAGGTTAAAAAACAGTTATTTAATTGTAAATAATTTTTTAGAATTATCGAACTTATGTCTAACAATAAGAAGAGAGCTTTCCTAATTAATTCAGCTATTTTACTATAAAAAATTTTTTTTATGACACATTAGTTACTAAGATTGTAATAGAGCGCGTGCCTTCAGATATCGTTTATAGTAGAACTAATGACATATAATAATACCAAGAATGAAATGTATTCATTAAGAGTATACATCAATGAAAAACAACTGAGGATGCCATTGTGACGTCATTTTGGTTTGTATAATATATATAAAAAAATTTAAATTTTAATGTAAATATAGTAAAATAATATTCTCAATTATTCCAAGGATATTCTCACAAGAAAATATGTATTGGAAAACCAAATTCAAATTATTTTTAAATTATTTTGTGTTTTATGTTGAAAAAAATAATTATTATTTTTGTTTAAATATTCGTGGTCTCCAGCTGATTTGCATTCAATGACGTCTTAAAATGCATTATTATGCATGAATCGTCGTTTAGGTATTATTATATATCATTGAGAGGATTTTTAACAAGATTATTTATATGGAGAAGGGCTTCCAATTTATTTTTAGTCATCGATCATTGAAAATAAAATTAAACTAAATCAGATTTCACCCTCATTTTTTCCCCACTTTACTAAGAATTGCAATAAAATGGCTTAAATTTATGCCCCTCACTCCACAAAAAAGAATAATAGCAGGGTTTCCTTTCGATCTGAGTAAATTTTATTGGTAGTGTTAGCAAATGGTTCATTTTTACAATTAAATTAAAATTTTCGCTAAAACACAAGCCTAGAGATTTCTTTATTAGAAATCTAAACCTTTCTGCCATCTATGAGTTAAATCTCTAGGCTGCGTGATATTTTTTGGCTAAGATATTGTGATAGCCGTTATTAAAAATCGAGTCTTTAACAACACTATTTACTGGTTTATTGTCATAAGGTGTTCGATCAATCGATGTGACAAGACTGCACTTATTTTATAATGAAGGAGTTGAGTTTACAATGTTCTAGTAATTAAATATTGTAGTCGCGCACTCTATTTTTTTGTAGCATCTAATGTTTTGACCTTTATTTTTCAAAAATTATTCTGTAAAATGGCTATTATCATTGGAAAGTTAGGAATAAATATCAGATAGTTAAATAGCCTAAAAAAATATATCCATCAACATTTAGATTAGTGTTCTTTTTGTTGGCAGTATTTCTTCGTTATTAATATTACATCAAACATTATATTTCCTATTCATATATGTATTTTTGATAATTTAACTGAATACATAGCTCTCGATAAAAAAAGTCAAAGTTTTTGAAGAACTTAATTTTGAACTGGATAGATGATTGATTTAAATTTTCAAATTTTAACTTTTCTCGTGAAATAAGGGAAATTGGCACTATTAATTTCAAACTGCCTCTGTCCAAACCTTTTTTTCTTCCCCTTCTAAAGTACAAAAAAATTTTTGAGACTATTCCCAAAAGTTTTATCATACTGTTCTGGTATTCAAAACTTTTTATCCAGTTCAAACCCAAATTATTTAAAATTTTTTACATTTCCCATTGAGGAGAAAAGGTAATTGGCACCATCAATGTTAAACTACTCTCAAAGGTTTTGTAATACTGGTCTACTATCCAAGATTTTTTATCTGGTATAAAACCTAATCGTTTAAAATTTTATACATTTCTAAAGATGTAGAGCACCATTTTGCGGTAAAAAATTTACAGCTAAAACAAATATAAAAATTTTTTCCCCATATTTCCTTGGTTAATAAACTAAAAGATGTTTATTGCAATTATACATAATTTTTAAATAAAAATTGTAAAAAATTATATAAATATAAAATGTCATTAATCTTTTTAAATTTAAATTTTGAAATAATATTTTAAAAATCCAATTTATAATAAAATAAAAAAAAGTCTTTTTTTACTATAACCATTTTCAATGTTAAATTCATAATCTTAAGGATAACCCATTTCAAGGAATCTCTGAAACTTAAGAAAATTTTTTAATAGGGTGGAATATATATAAAGTTAAACTAGTAAGTAGGATTAAAGGTTCGAAAGATATGGAAGGGTCAATTAAAGGTTTAAGAGATATGGGTTGAGGTTGAGGGTAAGATGTAATAAAGAGAATTTTTTTAAAAAAAATTTAATCATTTTTATTAATAACTAATCAAATCTGATAGGTCATGTGATTAAAAATGATTTCCTTAAGTTGCGCCATAATCAATCATAAGCAATTGATAAAAGACAGATTTATATATTATAAATTAAAATGAAGATCTGTTAGCACATTGCTAAAAACTTTGGGGTACACAGTCAGGGAAAAAGCCTTTAGTTGGGACTGGTTTAAAGCCCCATGAATTTATGGATAATCTAAACTTCTATTAAAAAATAATGTCGAGTTTATTGAATACTCTGTTCCGAATGTAATTGTTGATGGCGGGATAGATGTGGCTCATGCTAAACTCCAACAACATGGTTCTGACTATCCGAATTCTTTAAGATAAGGGTATACTTTAATAATAAATTTAAAACTAAAAACTGATATATGATAAAACATAAATTTAAAAGGTAAGACAATTTTAAATATTTACAATTATTATTAAATAATATATTATATTTTATACTTTTAAATTAAATTTAGGGTTAGTGTTGTTAAACGGCTCGTTTTGAGCCGATTTTTAAAAACAGCTAACTCAATATTTTGGCCAGAAAAATATTGCTTAAACCTTGAGATTTCGTTAATAGATATCTAAACCTTTGTTACTTCTACAAACAAAATCTTCAGCCTTGCGTAATTGTATTCTGAATGAAATATTGAGTTAGCCGTTTTTAAAAATCGGCTCAAAACAAGCCGTTTAACAACACTATTTAGGGTATATAAATATAATATATTGCATTATAAAAAATATTTATTTGAACTTTAAACTTAATTTTGAAAAAACTATAGTTCTCTTAACATAATTAGAAATGACGACATATTACCATACCATCCTCGGTCTTCAATACCAATTGATAATCTTCATTTGATTTTTTAATAGCCGAACTAAACTCTACTGAGGCCAATTAATGAAGGTTTACACTATGATGGTTTCCGACCACTATATCTTCCGAATTTTCTTATAAAAAGTGGCTGCAAAGCAGATCGATTTTAGAACCAAAACTGAATTTTTATTTTATTTGTCATTAAGGTGATTTTTGGATGACGGGATAGTCTTAACCGATCCCAGTTAATCCTCACTTATTCCTACCAGCTATCCATCCCAACTAATTTCTCGAATGAGACACTAATTCCTTAAAAATTAAAGGTTAAAAGGAGATTATGATAGTATCCATCCAAGAAGTGACATAGACGCATCCATCTCGTTAAGATTAGCCTCTTTTAAGCATTTCTACTTTTTTTTATATAAATGCTAACTTAATATCGAAGATTTTAAATATTTTATTTTTTTTCTAAGCATGTGGCACAAGATCTAGGTAATAATTTTTTTTTAAAAAAACTTTTAAAAATATTTTCTATATAAATTATATTTTTCCATAGTTTAATTAGCAAACGAATTACAACACTCTTTAGATTTGAATAAAACTTGTAATTAAGAAAATCTACATTTTTATTTTATTTAAAACATAGATTTTTTTTATTTTTAAATTAAAATTTAATTTTCCCCAAAATAATTAGGTTAAAATTGCTTATTTATATATTTTTATTTATTATAAAATTAAGAATTTAAAAACGGGAAAAAAAAAATTCTTATAGACTTATAAAAGTAAAAAGAAAACAGAAAGTCAAATTTTCATACATGGGAATCCGGGGTAAAGGAAATAAAATATATGAAGAGACAAAAGAATAAAAATAAAATAAAGGAATAAATTTTTATTTTAAAATTAAATGCTTAAAGTTTTGACCTTTTTTATTCCCTTCTAGCGACACTTTTTTTATATCTATTTTAATATGTCATATTTAATATCTAAATTGTTGATAATCTCATTGTTTTATATATATCTCACTACTCATCAAATCTGTTATTATTAATTATGTTTACGAGGTGCATAAAATATTCATTTTATATTTTAATATTATTATTATTAATTTCGTTCATACCTGGAAAATAAGAAAAGACACATATAATATTATAATGATATGAAGTTTCGTTTCGCAATGCCTCATGGGCACAACATTAAAAATATAACATTAAGCTGATATTTTATTTTATTTAATTTTAATTTATTATTATTATTTTTTTAATATAAAATTTTTTTTACAATTAATTATTTTTTTACTTTTTAAGCTTTTAATTCAAAAAAAAATAGACGAGGAAAGAATATTCACGTTTTTATCAAAGTAAATTTATAATCATTTCATTTTAAAAAAATAAAATTATATATACAACCTTTATGTTACCTCTTTATGTATATTTTATTTCTGTTGTCCGAAAAATTATTTAGGCCACTTTAGTTTGTCGTGATTTATGTTTTATAATTATCAATTGACTTTTTAAAATCCTTTGCTTGTTTATTGATTTTTTTTCACGTAATAGTTTTTGAAGTTGAATTCATTTAAATTGCTCCTAAATTTTACTAATATAAACTTAGCAAAAAAAACAATCGGAAAATATTTATTTTTTGGTGTGCTATATCATTAAATTTCGTCAATTTTGGCATTTAAAATGCTGCATATTCTAGCACTTTAGTGCCCGGAGAAATTTATTTATTTAAATTTTATCAAAACACAATATAATTCGGGTCCATCATTTTATCTGCTTTCAGATCAATTAGTAGTTCCATTTTTCTCTTATTTTTTGAATTAATTAAAATTGACATTATTTTATTTTTTAAATATTTTTAATTAAAAACTGCTTATTATCTTGTCATATATTCGGAAAATTTTTTTTCCTTCCAACAAATTCACTATTTGCATTATTCCTCATAAAAATTCTGTAAATATAAAATTTATTAAGAATTTTCTTATGTAATTTTTGTAATCATATTTAGATTAGATCATGTATATAATCATTTTTAAATAGTATCAAAATAATATGAAGAAAACACTAATTAATAGTCGATGATAGCTAGGTTGAGGCCCTACTGTAGTGAATAAACCAAATGTTATAATCATTACCAGTGTTGTTAAACGCTACTTTTAAAAGTAGCCCTCTATCGATACCGCTATCGTTTTCAAATGAGTAGCGCGCTATTAGAGCTTAGCTACTTTTTACGCTATTTTGATTTTTTTTTAAAATATTTTTTACGTAACTTTAATTCCACAAATAAAATATTGGTATAAAAACATGACTATAATTTGTTACATATATTTATATATAATTTATTTATTATTGCTTTAATAATAATAACATTTGGGTACAGTCATCCACAAGTCTAGAGCGACGATCAGAAAGTATAAGTTTTGCCATACTAAATAATCGTTCAGCACTAACACTTGAGGGCAACACAGTATTAAATTTTGTAAACACACTTTATATATGAAAAAAATCATCAAAAATATTTAGATGAGTATTTTTAGATTTAAATAAAGCATCTAGAGGTTCAATAATATTATTATTATTATTAATTTCAAAAAAATCGTCTATGGTAGGCCGCGGTTTCGATCTTACTATAGTATTAGTATCGTGGTTAGGCATGACATTTTTTAACGTTACCATCAGCCTATCCAGTTGCCCTTTAGATTTAGTCAAATTAATGGCCAATTTAACTTGAAACTAGGATGAACGATAGCACCCATTACATTATCATTATCATCATCATACAGATCTGGAAATCTAATTTAAATAAAGCGATTGTGTTTATTATAAAAAAATAATACCTTTTTAATTTTCAAAATTTAAATTTATCTGAGATTTATTATTTATAAAAAAATATTAGAATAGCATTATATTATGGTAAATAAAGATTTTAAAAATTTTACACATGTAATTAATAATATATTAATTTTGAATTTTATATTAATACTATATATTATTATTATAGATTGTGTTGTAAATTAAGCCAATTTAAATTATGGCTAATCAAGCAAATTCATTCATTTTATATAATTGTATAATAGAAAATAAAAATAAAGTTTTGTTTTGACCTTTTCTCAATGCCTTTTAGCATAGACTCTACCAGCGGTTGGCAAAATTTTAGATTATTGATTCTTTTGAGCTTGGTAATTAATATATGTGGGAACATAATATCCCGTGCAATGTTTATTCTAATTAAAACTGCTTGTATGATTTGAGGATAAAATTTTGCGACACATCTTGCATCGAAACCGATATCCAGTAGTAAATTTTTCTTCAAGATTAAAGTATTTTTTGAATTTTGGGAAAGGATAATCTATATTTTTCTCATTTTCCAAAAAAATTTCGCTATCTTCAACAATCTCACACATTTTTAATAACTAGATTTATAATGCTAACTAGATTTATAATGCATATTTTTAAATATAAATTTCAAAATTAAATTAAATAAAAGGATTATAATTTTAGATTTAATAAAAAATATATTTTAATAATTTTTAGAAGTATTTATTATGTAAAATTGAACTTCCTAAATTTGCAGCGAGCTACCGCTATCGCTATTTTCTAAAAAAAGTAGCCAGCTAAAGCTACCGCTACTGAAAAAAGTAGCGCGATATTTTAAAAACACTGATCATTACCTCCTTTTCCCGTCAAGTAATTTACTATGGGGGGGGGGGGGCAGAACAGACTTATAAGTTTAAGTTTATATACACTAAAATAAATAAAGAGCCAAACAAACCATCAAAGTAATTTAAAAAACTGGACCGTGAGAGTTAATTTTTATATAAATGGGCGAACGTGTATGTGAATAAAAAATTAGACCTTTAAAAAAAAATTATTAAGCCTCACCCAGGAACTGAATTTATTCTTAAAAAAATATAGTTTCGATCCGACCCGAAGCTTGTACAGGAAAGTTACGATGCGGGTTCTTTATTTCAAACACATTTAATATACCCTTTTAATGATTTAGTATGCGTTTTAGTATGAAGTGTAAATATACTATCCTTATTCGATTGTTATAATTACGAATGGTAGTTCAAGATCGAATATGGACAATTCATTTTTTTAAATTCTTTTTTGACTAGGAGACCTAACAGATGACAATATTAATTTTATCTTTCGGTATTCATAATTTGATAAAACGCGATTTTACGCTTATTTATTAATTGAATTTTAATCTATATTTAATTAAATTAAATGGCTCTTAAATCCTTTTTCGCCTTTTTAACAAGCTTCTAAAAAAAACGCCTTTTTTATAATTATATTTATATGGTATATTCCATAAGATATTGTATAAATGGCTTTATAAGTTTTGTAATTAATAAAGATAAAAACAACATGAATTTTTGTTCCGCAATTTTTTCAGAATTGATGCTTCATTTTTCAAAAATGATGATTTTAATATCACTCACATGTTTTACGACTTAAAGAAAAAGAGGTCAAAATAATTAATATTATTGTAAGTAGAATGTGATAACAAATATCATTATTTTTAAATTATATTATTTTTTTGCTTCTTGTCTTATCTTTCTTTCATCATTTATCTTTCTTATATTAAAAAAAAATACGATCGGTTTTGTAACCCATACTATACGTTCATCGTTCGGGTTATTAGAATTCATGGGAAAATGTAGTTAAGGAATCAGGGGTTTTAGCCCAGTCAAGATTTCATTTTGTGAAGAGCAGCTTTTCATAGTTTCATATTAGTCTGCCTTAAATGAACTAAACCTTGAATTAGTAACAAAAAATATCTCTTTTTATATTACGAATGAAGTAGTAAATAAGATAATTTATTTTATTTCTCTCACCAGATCAATCACGCTTATAAGTGAATAGTTTTTTTTGACCATTTCTTAAAAATATGGTAGATTTTTTATATAAAATATGGTCAAAGGTAAAGAAATAATGTAGCTGGAATATCGACTATATTTTGATTTTAAAATAAATATAGGTAACATAACTATTGCTAGCAGTGACTGACCAGGCTCAATACGTAATTATTATTAATGAATAAGAAATCATATTTTTATTATTTAAGGTTTAAAAAAATTATCTTATGATACAATTTTTTTTTAACATAAATATCGGTTAAAGCTGCTAAGGATATTCATTAGTTATCGACCTTTATTGTAATTGTGATTGTGTGAGATTCTGTCTTTTGACCTAAAAATATAATAATATATGCTTTTTTGCTTTATATCCTTTATAAACATATGCAAAGCCAGCTAGCGGGGCCAGGTAAGATATTATTATAACTAGCCAGACTTAGCAAATCTCTTTCATAAAAATTTATTGAGCCAACCCAGGCATTAAAATTTTATATTTTTTTTCTTCTTCTGAATTTAATGCTATTATTTTATAAATACTTATTTCAAAATAATATTACAATGTGTTATATTTCTTTAAATTTCAAGAGTCATATAATTATTAGACTAAATCTATAAAATTAAAATAGAAAATTCACAAAATAATTTAAATAAGTTATTTATGATATGATCCAAATTCAAAAACACTTGATTTGATTGGTATAGAAATAGATAGCCATAGAGGAGAGATAGATATAGACATTAATGATCTGCATCCACCTAATTTTTCAAGACCGGCCGGACCAATATTTTTTAAAAAATTTTCCTACCTGACCCGATCCCTAACAGAATTTTTATTTTTCCCGAAAAAATTCGACCCGAAATAAAGATAAATATTTGTCCGCCTGCCTCGAATTTATTTAATTTAATTTGTTTTATTAGAAAAAAATATTCTATAGATAAAAATAAAATATTGGCGCCTTGTTTCTAGTAAGAATTTTCAAATATATCCGTTTATTTGACAAAATGTAATGATATCTTATTTAAACCCAATCCGTTCCGGCCCGAAATTTTTCAAAATATATTAAGCCCGACCCAGTCCGATCTGAAATTATTTTTCTAAAATAAGACTCTCAGATCTCTAATAGGCATTAAAAATGTGTTGTCAGGAAGATTCGTTAAAAATTAAACGGTCCGTGGCTCATAAAATTTAACGTGCCGGAGCGGAAAATTAGCAAAAAAAAAATTATTGGGCCTATAGACCGGACAAACATATGAATAACGGGCTAGACAACTGGTGCAAAAGATCCGGGCTTATATTCGAATTTAATTAATAATAAAAACTGTGGCGAATAAATTATCGTTTATTAAAATATTATTTTTAAAAAAAAATAATTAATAAAAGGCCAATTTTTGAAGATCTAACTCTGATTTAAAAAATATATTAGTGCATCTCAATAGCAATGTTAAAATTTTACCTATTTTATACGCTAACAATGTTAGCTTAGCGTCAATATGTTTATTTCATCAATGTGTTAGAGCGCATTTTTATAATTCTGAAAATGATTGATACCAGAAATGTATTTCAGCATGTTTAGAGTTCTTACCTTATGAATTTCAGACAATTTTGTTTTTACCTTTGGAGTCATATATAAATTTATATTTCAAAAGTTCGAGACAAAATTTTCTAAAAATCGCAGTGCAAGTTTTTCTATCATTTCCAACTAAAAATCATATTTTTTTAAAATTAAAAAACGCGCTCAAAAAAATTTGACTTTAACATTAAAAAACTAATAAAGCTAGGTTAATTCTTAATCCTCTTCAACTTTGATATTTTTCATTTATGATAATAAATTAAATCTTGAAATTTGATTTTCTCATCTTTTATTATATTAAATAAACGTAGTAAATAGAGCATTCATTATCAAGCGAAACTATATGCTCTTTATATCTTAAAAATGAAAATACATACGATTTCAAATTTAAAACTATTTCAAAAATGGAAATACGAACTTTTTCTTTTTTTAAAAAATTTTTGAATGTTTGACTTATTTAAAATAAAAAAAATAATATTCTTAACTTGCCTTAAAATTTTTCCCCTTTAGTCTCGTGATTGGATCTGTGGGCCGAAGCCTCAATTGACAGGGTCAGTTTTTTAAAATATTTTTATCGACGTTCGGCGGCCCGCCGATTTTGCTGCCGCCTATCAAATTAACCGCGAACGCGCTATTTATTTTAAAATATTTTAAATTAATTTAGTTTATAATTTATGTATTACATTTTTTTATAATTTAGTTGGGCACTCCAACATTGTTAATAATGTTTAGTTCAGCTCTTAAATTATTCCCTGTATTACTCTTAAATTTATATATTTTCTCATTCTCAGAAATAGACTAAGGAATTTCATTTTTACTCATGTCAAAGTAACACAACACATATTAGTAATATTTAATTTATTTTTATCAAAACAAATTAAAATACAAATTTGGTAAGAAATATAATTAATAAGAAACCAGATTTTATAAAATTGTAATTGTCATGAATAAATAGTATTTTATCAAGATTCATGGGACATAAAGAAGTCCTTTTTGCATTAAGTATTAATCCAGCGATGGAAAAAATTCTTTCAGTGTACTAGTTGCAGGTATACAAAAAACCTTCTCAGCTAAATTAGCAAGCCTAGGAAGTTTCAGTCGCTGTTAGCGCATCCTCTTCTAGTATACTATGTTAATACTATGTTACTTGAGTTAAACATAGCATTCTTGCTCTAGATTGCAATGTTGTTATAATCGTTGCTTGGAATGGAATGTTTACGAGCCATTTTGGGTATATATGAACTGGATATTTGACCATTTCCTATAACTTGAATCTCACTATGTGCATTTATATTATGCTCCAAAAGTTTTAAATGTCTAAAAATTGCAATGTGTAGAATTCGAATTTAAATATTCTAAAACAATTTTAAGATTTTAAAACCTCCGATCAAGTAGTCTCTTTCGAATTTCAAAATATAAATTTTATTAATAAAAATATATAAATTATTTGAAATTCGGTAATTGGAAAGCTATGATCAAGCTTTTTTGCATATTTTATTTTAGACAAAGCATATCTGAGCTAAAGCTGGTCAACTAAATCCGTGTATTGAAAAGTTTCAAAGAATGTTTTTTTATTTTATTTAGAACATAATTTATAGGAATCTTGTTAACACTACGGATACTTTCTAGCATAACTAATATGTTGTACCAGCGGGTAGGGCAATTTTTTTTTCCTATAAATTAGATTTGTTGGTGCAATGCAGTTTTATACTATCAGCCTCGTCAGTTATATTTAAAAATGTTCACAAATGTATGGATCAGAATCATAATTTAAAATATGGCCGTAGGAGCATGTTCCATAATCTATAAAATCATATATATAGCCATACAATATTCATCTATGAACCACTTATCATTATCTGAAAATCTATACCACAAGATTCATCAAATTTGTGATCATTCTCCTTAATAAGACAATATTAATTTCACGAAGTTATAGAAAGAGTTCCATCTTGTTATAACCAGTTTAATCAGATATCCCATTTTTCCTTAAAAATGGATGCACGGTTTGGAGGATGTCCATGTTTATTCCACAATTGAAGTTTAAATATTTGAGTTAGGACAAAATTTACAATTACAAAGTATAAATTTTGTACCCTTAGTTTTCTTCATTGGTATAAAAACAAGGAAGGCTTTACTCATCTTCATCTGACGAAAATGTTGAATTGACATAATATTCCTTATAAAATAAATTATAATATTAATAAGAATATAAATATAAATATACATACATTGTTGATTCAATATTTATTAGATTAAAAATCTTGACTGAAAATTTAACAACAAAAATATAAAATAATAAATGGTGGTTGATGTGAATTAAAAACTCGGCTTAAATTATTTATAAAATTTGAAAAATCAATGAAATATGTTTTCCCCATATTTTTTAAGAAAAATTTTAAGTAACTAGTAATGTTTAACGTTACTTAAAAAAAGAAATGCTGCCGAAGGTAACGAATGGCATTCCTTTTCTTCAAAAATAGTAACGCCGTTAGTAACGAATGACGTTCCTTTTCTTCAAATACGCCGTTAGTAATGACGTTAATTTTTGACTTTACTTTACAGCACTACTCCTAAATCAATTTTATATATTTTTTAAAATCATTTTTTTTAAAAAAAATAAAACCTTAATTCCATTTTGCCTCTAATTTTTTATTATTATAGGAGCAATTTTAAAAATTTGCAATCCCTAATTTACATATAATTAGCTTTCATGATATATTATTTGATTATAAATAAAATCAAATAGGAAACCAAACCTTTATAATAATTACTAGCTATAGCGTAATTGAACTAACCGTAGTGTATTATTTTAAACTTGCAAGAATGAATTTTAATTAAAACTATTTAAAATTATACACCCCTTTCAAAATATACGTAAATATAATTTTTATATTATGATAATGTCTCGAGTGTTGAAATTGCTTTCCTTTTTAAAATGTCACCTAATTTTGAACCTTATATATTTTATACATTTATTAATTAGTTTTTTAGATAAAAATATATTATATTATGTTTTATGAAATTTTAAGGGTTTGTTATTAGCCAACGGTATTAAAAAAATGTTATAACATTAGTTAAACCCTGAGAGGAAAAGAAAATTGAACTGTTTGCTTTTACTATAATAATTATTATTGTGAATGGGCTTTTTCATTGAAAGAAAACTAATTTTTTAAAAATATATTTTTTTGAGAAAATTTTTTAGAGTTTTTATGGTTAAAAAAAATTTTTTTTATATTAAAAAATATATAAATTAATGGCTTTATTTTTTTTTATTTAAAATAAGGATTAAATTAATTTTAATTTTTTTTCCCCCTCTTTTATATTAATTATTTTTTTCTTCTCTTTCTATAACAATAGTTATTATAAAAGATTGAGCATTATATTCATTAATTTTATTAACTCTAATGGAAAACATACTAAATGGGTAAAAAAAAATAGATATTACATATATCCACCCATATAGATCCTTTATTTATTTATTTTTTTAATTAATTTTCCTCATTCATATAAAAATTATTCTAGCATAGTATAGCGAAAACTGGTTATCATATTTCAAATAGTATAAGATATAATTTCGTATTTTTTATGTGAATTTTTTTTATATCAATGTTTTTACCAAACACTTCACTTTAAGTATTAATTGAAATACGATTGCTAACATACACTCCCACCTCCCTCTATATAATCTACATATACGTGTTCAATACATTAATTACCCAAAGTTTTAAAAAATATAATTATTTATGTTTTAGCACATGTCAAAGAACTGCAATAATCAACTATGCATATCTCAGTTTACTATTCTCTTGGTCATAACACCACTGATAACATCATTAGCTAATTCTAACAATCCTAAAACATCATCGTTTATCTACATTCCACATTTTTCGGATTCGCATGGCGGGCAGGGCAGTCTGATCAAGTCTGACGAGGGAAAGAGCTCCTATGCTAGACACAATAACGAATCCCCGAATGATGAATCCGATAACAAAGAACCTCAAGATGATAACGGAACGTCGGTCATTCATCAAACAATAAAAGCCCACAGTATACTAAGTGCTTTATCCCACCATTTGGACTCCTTACTATCTCCGACACATTTTTGGCTGTTATCCCCTTCTTTAATCTCCCATTCAGCATCTCAGCCGTTTAGCATAAAATGCTTGCCGCTATGCAGCTGCAAATTGGATTTATTCCGATCTAGGTCCGAGACGACTTGCAGGAGCATGACTTACGAAACCCTGATGGACTCCTTGAAAAATGTGACAGGGACTAACGTTAAGGTTATAGGTATGAAGAATACCACGGAAAATGATTATAATCGTAATGTTAAAGGAGATCAAGGAGCGATAGGTAATGTTAAGGATATCATGGTAAATGATTTGTGGAAACGAAACAGGGGCAGGGAGAACAGGATAACAAATAACCCACCCAGCAAATTTTTCATTGACAGTCATAATTATTTTAATAGTGTGACTGATGATAATGTATACAAAATGAATGTCCATAACTCCACAAAGAAAAACCATTATGTCTACAATATAACAAGCCTGACATTCTCATTTAATAACATACCCTATCTTAAAAGAGAAATATTTAAGACTATAGCCCTCCTGGATGAGGGGAAAGGACTGGACGAGCTCGAGGAGCTTTATTTTTACTTCAACAAGATCATATCCATTAATGAGGATGTATTTGACGATTTCAACAATGTCAGATTAAAGTCAGCAGGAGATAGCAATAATTCCAGGGGCCTAAAACGCATAAAAATTGTGGAACATCATTGGCATCTAAATCCAAACGAGTACTTTTCGGAATTTCCGGTAAAATCTATTCGCCCCTTTGCCACCACTTTAGAACAATTGCAGATAAGTTCTCCGAATGTACGAGCCTTTCCGATTACTTCCTTAGGTCATTTTATCCGATTAAAGACTTTGATTATTAAGTCCGCCGTTTTAAGCGACGTTGGAGCTAAAAGCAATGATTCTTACCATAGTACAGGTAACATACCACCGAATCTCTACGAATTGCAATTGATAGGTGATTCTTTGGAGACCGTCCCAAAGTTTTCAGTTGTGACTAACCAAGTCAAAAAGTTTACCCTATCGAGTCTAGCACTGGTTAGAATTTATAATGATGACTTTGAAAATAACTTTTCTTCTTTAGAAGAACTTTTTATTATTAATTGTAATATTAGTTACATCCATTATTTTGCTTTCAAACCATTGAGTACCACTTTAGTGCATTTAGACTTGCAAAACAACAGACTTAGAAATTTGGACCCTAGAACATTCCAAAATTTAAACAAACTGCGTGTCATAAATCTTTCAGGGAACGATTTGGTACATATTCTTGATGGTTGCTTTAATAATATGCCATCTTTAGAATTCATCTCCTTAAAATATAATAGGATAAGCTCCATTGGATTAATTCTAACCAATAGTTCTTCCGTTAAAACATGGCTAATGAAATCCAATTCCCTTGGCGATGTACCAAAAAATGCTTTAGCGAAATTGCCCAACATAGAAACACTTGACCTGTCCCGAAATTTTATAGCGAAACTAAAAAAATTCAGTTTCGAAAATAACAAAAAATTAGTGAGTTTAGATCTATCTTCAAACCATTTATACCTGTTGGAGCCAAATAGTTTTAAAGGCCTAGAAGACAGCTTGCACGATCTCAAAATTTTCCATAACCGAATTTCCTACATCGCTCCTGCAGTGCTAAAAGATTTAAAAAAGTTGTCACTTTTTGATTTGAGTTACAATAACTTGACTTCTTTGAGTGTCGAGTTGTTCGAAAATTGCCAAGACAGTCTAACATACATGGACATATCATGTAAGTTTCACTTAGTTAAAGCAATAAATATAATTGATATTAGTTATCATCATTTAGAATTTGACAAGTCTTAAAGATTTTAAGTTGCGATATTATCTCTTTAAATAATTATTTGGTGAGCTAATTTTAATAATATTTTTAATTTTATATTATTCTAAGTCCGCCTTATTTTTCATATATCTTCGACTTTGACAATTATAAAGAAAATTTTAAACATGTTTTTTTTAACCAGTGATACAAATTTCGTACCATTTGATTTTAAAATCTTTTAATTTTCTCTTTTAATAAACATTTCTATAATTTTTTTTTTATTACGCTTAGTTAACCCTTGGCATTGTGATTGTAACATGAGAGTATTTAGGCTGTGGATGGAAGCTAGGATATCTAACCTCTTTTTTTTGCATCGTTTCAAGGCCAGGACAATACTGAGTAGAGCCAAATGTGCAACACCTTTACACATGATAAGTGTACCTATATCGTACCCACCATTGAACGCTTTCATGTGTGATTCCGAGATTAGGGAAATCGAATCCCATATTAACAATAGTCGGAAAAATTATGATAGAGGTCTTTACAATTATTCCTCTAACTCTTTTGACATAATACATGAATTTGGGGAAGAAGAGGACACGGGCCCCGAAGAAAAGCATGACTTTACCACCACAGAATCGATGTCACACAGTGAAAATATGTCTTTAAACAGTTTTGAAGAATCTAAAGATTTTGCTGGAGAGGAAGCGAAGGTTGATATAAACGAAAAAGGGAAGGTATCCGAGAAGAATGGCACGTTATCTAATGCTCAAATCGCTACTATTCTGGCCAAACAACAAAGTTTCGACGTCTTTTTGTTGAAAGAAATTAAAGGCTTATTCAATATACTGGACATGGTTTTTAATTCCAGCAATGCGAGCCATCTCGGAGCTAGCTCTCATCGTATCAATGACCATTTGTTTGAAGAAAGTCTGAGTCAACAACAAGGTCAGATTAAAAACCAACCATACAGAGGGCATCATCTATCTAGGCTGAGTCTGGCGCTATCAGGCATAGCAATTTTAGCGATCTTATGTCTATTTTATTTATTTTTCTACCGTGACAAGAAGGAATCCCATTTAAAATACGGGCCTAATCTCACATCCCATCTAAGCAACGTAGGTAATAGCGGTAATTACTTGTACCCACCTCATCATACTCTTTCGAGGCTCTCTTCGTCTCCCCTATCCAGCGGTCCTAGTAGTGACAATAACAATACAAAAAGCATTTCGAACCACTCCCCCTCTAATAGTAGAAATGCCAATTTCACTATAAGTTCGTCAGATCAGGGGAACGATATCGTTGCAAATAAATCATCCGGGATTATAAGTATGGATGATTCCTATTTCAATTCCAATGGAACACATATAGGAGGGCTCTCGTCTCAATTTTCGGCTTCGACCACTTCTTTAACTAGTCATTTGCCCGGTGGTCATAAGCTCGCGTTTAACAAATGGAAACCTGGAAGATTTCATAAGCTGTTTAAACGTGCGCCATTCTAGATATTTTGTTGCACAATTTAAACTCATAGTTATCTTTCAGCTAAATAAATTATTTACTCCTTTCTTAAAAAAAATTCTAATCATTGCTGAAACAGATATAATTATAAAAAAATATATATTGTTTAACGTGATTTAAATTGTTTTCGGAGTTTATAGCAAAGTGATATACACCCCAAAAAACGAAAGCTTCTTATACCAGCTAATTTGTATGCCAAATTTTATATATTTTTGCTACATTGGTTTTATTTTTTGAAATATAATATTTACAATAAAATTTTATGGGAATATTAATATATTTTTTACATAATATAAATAAAATTATAAGGTGAAAACTTTATATCGTGAAAATAAAAATGTTATCGTATAACTAATGTATTTATATTGTCTTTTCCCTTAAAATTACATTCTTAAATGATTAATTATAACTTCAGGGTTTATTATTGTATAATTTAATTTTGCAAAATTAATTTTTCCATTGCCTATTAAAACAAACATTTTTTTTAACGTTGTAGATTTTCTAGTGTAATTTGTGCTACGTTTAATAAGTAATATTGGAGTTAAAGATGATTATAAATTTTGTAAAAATCATAATATGCGTTTATAGGCTAGACTTGGATAAACATCTTCATTTAAAGAGATATTTTATAGAATTCGAATATTAGATATTTTTTTAAATAGGCAATTGAAGTAATTGATTTCCATTTCTTTCTATATTTGTGGATTTTCAATTGTAATTTATATTAAAATATCATTGAATAAGTTATAGATGAATAAAATACTAATATGTGCTGCTAATGATATTATTACCAACAAAGCAGAAGATGGCATATCTTCAGATGTGGTTACTCTTGTAATTTATCTGGCTAGGCTTAAGAATGTTTAAATTTATAGATGAACATTGTTTAAATTTATAGATGAACATATTTTTTTAGAGACATTTCATAGAATAATTAGAATATTAAATTAATTTTTATTTGGAATAGGAAATAGTAGAATAGATGTTTTAGTGGGTGGTTGTGCAATTTTGTGAATTGGTTTCTCAGGGGTTTAATCTAAAATTTTATATAGCTAATTTTTTAAATATTGTCTAACTCAAGAAAATTGCCGTTACAATAGCTGATTTATTTAAATTTCTATTCGTTTATACTTGTTTAATTATAAACATTTCATCCAATTAAAAAATTCTCCTTAAGTTGAACGTGCTTGAGTTAAACTATCATCATTCTTTTTAGAGCTTAAAAAAGTAATTTTTGCTAAAAAAAATCTTTCATGGCTATATTTAAAGATAATAACTCCATTTCCTATTTCCTAATTTAAAATCGCCGATAGTTTTTAAAAAGCAGAATAAAGGTGAATATTTACTAGAAGAATATAACAATCATCCACGTAATTCCGTTTACTAAATGCGCTACCAATATCGCGACAATAAAGATTGATTAGACTGGTTCCAAAATGTCCTACACAATTTTACAGCTGAGCCATTTTAAAATATCCTTTAATGAGATCAATTTTTTTATATTAAAATCGATAATTCTTCGATTTTCATCAAATTTATATCATAACAGATTATAATAATTGATCAGCTGTTAAATGGAACGAAGCCAACCTTAGGCCAGAGGTATCTATTCATACTCTCGTGATTCTCACTGACCTATTCCAAAGTAATCAAATTTATAAAAGAGTTTTTTAAAAAATAAAAATTTTTTTTTAAAAATGATTCATAGTTATACAACCAATTTTGCAACATTCATTTGTTTATTACAAATAAAATGAGTAATATTGAAAATGCAAAACTTCCCTTTCACCAAAAATGGGCCAAATATTTCTAATATCCCAATCCTTGAACATAACGAATACTGATTATAGCAAATTTCATTTTTGCTATACCGGCACATGATGCTAACATAAAAGAAGCTTTTCTTTATTTTATAGTAAATGAACAAATGAGAGGAATAGATTATCCTTGCATTCTTAAGATCAATTATATGTATGCAATATAATTTAAAATCGAAAAAATTTAGATGCCGGCTAAAATATTCTTCAAAAATATTACTTATTAAAAAATCTTTTCCAATTTACATTTATTTATCACATTCAATGCAGAAATAAATACATTAACAATTTATTCTATAAATTTTCTATCATACGTTCCTATCCAACCTGTATACCCAAGCTGGGCTTAGGTCCGAGTTCACAGGTCTCTGATAAATATAATTAGAACCCTTAATTTATTCACACTTTTAAGGCTAGAAAGAAAATGAATAAATTAATTTTAAAAAAGTGAAAAAATGATATTAAGGAAAATATATTTACTTTGAAAATCAAATCTCTATATATTACATTTATAATACAAATATAATTTCCGATTCATGAAACATAACATAAATATATTTTTAAAAAAAGGTATAAAATTCAATTTAATATTAACGAATATAAGAGTAGCATTCATTTCAAACCAGTTTTTATATTTTTTCCAGTGATGACTAAATAATGTTCTTCTTGCAGATCCTTTAAACCTTTTTCGAACATTTCTCTCGATATCAACTGTTTAAAAAACATATTTGGTTGTAATATATTATGGGAAAAATTTCCAAAATATTTATATAGGATAGGGTAATTTTTCTTATTTTGAAAACATTAATTAACGGAGACTTGTTAGATAAAGTAAAGAGGATAGTGAAAAACAAACAAAAAATATATATACTAACAATATCGGAATTCTCTTTGAATTCCTGGAAAAGTTTAAATGTGGGCATGGTTACACTCTTTCCTTTGCTTTCTAACAATCTTTTCAAAGCTTCCAGTAATTCCCCATACTTTTTACGGGTCTCAGAACTTTGGCCAGTAGTTAAAATGCTCATGTCTATCAAGCCGGTACTAGGGTCAGTTATAGTTTGCTTTAAGGCGTCCTTGTATAATCTTTAAGAGGATATAATAAATTAATTGTATGAATGAATAAATCAACCTCTCAGCCTCTGCCACATCTTTTAATTCTACGAATGGAGACCATCTCATTTTGGCGTGAGCTTCAGAAAGCCTGATAAGAGATTCCAATTGCCTAGGGTAAGCCGAAATAAAACCCTTGGTGCTTCCGATCTTAAATGATTGACAAAATTAGAAATTAGACATAAGATTCATTATATATTATAAAATTCTTCTGAAAATAAATGATAAAATTTATAGATGATTAGTTTACAAAGATTTTCTAATAAAATTTTTAATGTAATTGATGAGTTACCTTTCTCATATTGGTATAAGCGTTTATAAGGGTCTGTTGAGCTATCGGGCTAAGCTTGGGATGAACATTCTCTTTAGCATATTTGATGTAATCTTTCAATAACTTTTGATCCTTTTTTTAAAAAAAATCGTATTATTTTTGTAGTCAAAAGTTTGAGAGGCAGTTGGAGCATGTTTTTCCCCTTTGTTTTAAAATGCATTCCACGTTTTTTCTATAAAAATTCTAAAAAGGTTTTTGTGGTTTTCAATGTTGTGATTTATATAAGTTAATAACACATATGCACTAAAACTTTAATAAGATGGAACTTTTATTCGTAGAATAATAATAATAATACTCGGTAAGATCTTATTAATTTCAGTCATATATATAATAGATTAAAAGTTAATAAATAGCTGAAATTGGACCAACTGTTATCAAAAAAAATTAATAATTGCCCAAAAAATGCCCCGAGTTTGACTTCCCTTAAGTGCAATGTGAAAAAGTTATGACGAACAGCCTTCAAGGCAAAATATATGCTAAAAGCAATGCGATATTATTTAACAGCTGGAGCAAATAAAATCTTTTATATGGAATCAATTCATATTTATCAATATATATTAAAGATTTCCGATTCATGAGGTTAATTTAAGAAATGATTACATTAAAGAAAAATCAATTTAATTAAAAGATTTTGATAAATTAGAAAAGATGATAAGTCGTATAAAAAGGGAAAACCCCATTTTTAAACAATCTTTTTATAAAATATTAACGTGATTTTTTATGAGAAAGTTAATTATTAAGGAAAAGTAAAAATCATACTAATTATAGGGGTATTAGATGTTTTAAGTTTATTTTAGCAACTATCCTTAAAAAAAAGAAGGAATATTAATAAAATAAATTTCTTCCTTATCATTATAGTCATTTCTTTTTTTCCCTTTTTAATACTAAATATTCTATTTTAAAAAAATTGCCTTACAATAATTTCAGCATTAGATTCATTTCCAGTGGAATTGCTATTAGAACTTCCATTGGTATTAGTGTAATTTCCGTCGTAATACAGTGATATCAAATGATTAGCTAATTTTCTATCGAAAACTTCTGACTGGTAATCCAGTATCAAATAGATTAGATCAAATCTTAAAAAAGTGGTGCGTGTATAATAAAAAGGGTGTTAAAATAAAATATAAACAATTTAGTTTTAATTAATTTATTCATCCCTTCTTTAAGATTTAAATTCATAATTTTTAATGTTAACCTGGATAACAAAGTATGAGGTAATTTAATATTTTCTATAATAGTTTTTTTCGTGTTCCATTGGGAATCGATTGGGTTAGCGGCCGCTAAAATGCAAGTCCGAGCATTTAACTGACATATGATGCCTGCTTTGGCTATTGACAGTGTTTGTTGTTCCTTGTTTAAAAAAAATAGATAACAATTTTTCCAAAAAAAATAGTTTTATTTCATCCTAGAAATCAGAGAAACTACGGAGACAATGAGTAGGAAGGTAAGTGACTGAATGAATTATTAATTAATATTATACCATGACTTCATGAAGCACTGCACGTGTGCTGTCATTCATTTTATCGAATTCGTCTATGCAACATATACCCTTGTCACTTAAAACCAACGCTCCACTTAGAAAAATGTGTAAAAAATGAAATAAATTTTACTTGATGGTTTTTATTTACAAAACTAAAATGAGGAGCAATGTCTTAAAGGTAAACTTAAATGTATTTATAATTATAAAATATAATGCCACCTTATTATTTTATTTCAAATTAAGAAAGAAAGGATTTCAAATAAATATTTATTAACCTATCAACTTTGATCGAAATCGGATTGAGTTACCCTACATTCACATTTAGCGTGAATTCATGACGAAGTTAAAAACAAGCATATATTATATAATTCGCCGCGAATTCGTGCTTACTGTGAATGGAGTTAAGCCCCTTGTTTAAAAAAAATATAATTTGCCAGAAGATTAAATTTTTTAAATAATTTTTCTTTCTTCAAATGAAATATAAAGTGGTTTTCAAAAAAAATGATTAGCTTGTCATTCCCTTAATCACTACTCACTTAAGGTATAAATTGTAAACAGTTTATAAATGATCAATTATAATTATAAAAATACTATACGTTTGAAGAACGGTGTGATTAGTATCCACATCTCGGCTTATGGAAGCCGTTAATCCCACTGCAGTTGATCCCCTCCCAGACGAAAATTGGCTCCTGTCTACCAAGCCATATACGTACCGCAGCAATTGAGATTTAGAAGTGCCAGGATCACCACATAGCAGTATGTGAATCTCGCTCCTGTTCATGAATAGTCAATTACACATAAAAGTAAACACTCAGAAATAGTAAACCTGCAATTTCCTTTTCCTATGCCCTTAAAGTCTTTTTTAGTACCCCCAAAGAGTTGAAGCAAAATACCCTTTTTGATATCGGCGTTCTCGTAAATGGATGGCGCTAAGGAGTCAGCTAAAATATCGTATAGCCTGGGGTTCTGAGACAAACGTTCCATAGCATCGAATTTATCATCGGCCCAGCCGTTTTTATTATTTCTTTTATTTTCTTCCTCCCTTTTAAAGAAAATATGTAATTTTTTTTTATTATTTATCTTTTCCTTTTTTACATGGTGATTTAATTCTACAAAAATAATCATATTATTTTATCTCGTTATAAAAGTTAATAACCTTTTTTGCAAAAAATATGCCTCTGTACACTGGATATTTTAAATATTTATTTTCTTTTAAATACATAAAAATTTATACTATTTGACATTAAATTATAGAGAGAATATGGAATAAATATGCACAAAAAATCAAATGTACATTAACGTGTTTTTAAATTCTCCAAAAAATTAGGTAAAAATTCTATTTATTAAATCATAGTAAATTATTTTAAAAAACGTTTTAAAAAGTCTAAATTAAACATATAAGCATTTTTTTTAAAAAGGTGGTAAAAGTGTTGTCCATCAAAGTCTTTGATTTTGTGATACAAACATTGTAACATTATTATATACAAACACGATTGTATATGTACTTATCCATATTATCGGCGTTATCCTCTACTAATGCAGAAGGTCTGGTGATTTTTCTCACATGTAGCAGGTCAAGATGAGTGCAGTATATGGCTCTTATTGTCCGATTTCTTGGGTTGATCCTAGAAGGCTTAGCCCTAAAAATACCGGTAACTGACACTCTATCTCCTGGCTCGCAACTATCTACCAAATCCGAGTATACCCAACAAGTCAACGATTGGGGAGTGTGTCCAGAGCCCGTATCATCTTATTACCCAAGGTAAATATCGTTTTTTAAAAAATATTATTCATAATATAAAATATTCCGGACATGAAAATTTAAAAGGTTCCCGATTTTCTTAATAAGATCAAAATTATTAAAAAATGAAAATCTTCAAAAACAAATAATTAAATTTAGAAAAAACTAATTTTATTCAATTATTCAATATAATTATGCTAAAATATCCCTCCACTCCCCCTTAAGAAATATTATTATTGCTTATAGTGTGGTTATAACTATATACTATATATATTTTACGGAAACTATTCTTTTTCATTGAATTTCTGTTTTTTACAATCAATTTTATTGGAGGCAAAGCCATATAGACATTTATCCTGTAAAATTTCTTTATAGCATTTTTGCTATTTTTCCTGTATATATTAACTAAAATAAACAAAATATCTTTCCTTATAATAGATTTATTTATTTTTGAATTTTAACACCTTCATTAATTTCATTGCTTTCCATGTAAAAACATAATATACAATATATTTTGAATATTAACCTGGGGCTTCTTGTAGCTTAACGTATTGCTTATCCGAAAACTTAGACCTATTGTGCACTAGAGTGAAAGAATGGTTGCTTTTGCATTTGTCGCACAATGTAGGCTCGCTTATTTTACCCCGGTCCAAATCTACACCCATGGTTCTTTCGCATATGGTACATTTGAAAAAGGCATGATACATCTCTGGTATTATTCCGGAAACGCGTATAACTAATCCATTAACTGTTATAAGCTTGTCTATGTCTTTTATAGGAGGCGGCATTTAAAAAAATATTATATATATTTATTTTTTTAAAAATGGCATACCTTCGGGATTCAATTGTCTCATGTTGAAAGTTCGCTGGGCATTGTAAAAACGAACTTGAATCTGATGTTTCAGAACGGTATCCATGTATTTGTCGAAAAATATTTCATTAGTCGCAATGTCGAAAGCAGAAATTATCTCTGTCGGGTAACATATCAGCTGTCTATATAGTTCGCTATCGAAGCTTTTAATATGCAGGCAATTTATATCCAAAAAGGGATCTTCCAATATGCTTATCTTTGGGGAAAATTTATTTTACATTAATGTTGTCTTTTAAAAAAAAAGAATAACGTGCGTCATTCATTGGCGAAAATCGATATATGTTCTCTTTCAATGTTTATGCTTCGTTTATAGTAAAGGCAAAAAGCTGGGACATCGCTCAAGCGATCCGCTATTTATTGCTAAACGATAGCATAGTTGCATATTTGAACAACATGTATTTTTAAAATTATGCATCGTTTGAGCGCGGTTATTAAAAACGCGTTTATAGTAAATTATTCGCCATTATTCAAATCTTGAAATATATATTTTTTAATTATTAAACATATCCTTCATAGACATTGGAATCTTTTTAACTTGTATAATATAATATAGAATAGTGTAGAATTTCTTTTTCCCATAAAATAACAATAATATATGATTCAAAATAATAAAAATCATTTATTAATAGTTGTATAATCAAAAAATCATTTTTAAATTAATTGTTTTTCAAACATTTTTGTCTTATTTGCAAGAGTAGTTATAGCGGACCGGAGATCAGGACCGCATTCATAGTGAAATCTGAACAGCTGGTCGATTTAAAATCTGTTTAAAATATCAATTTTTCTTTATTAAAATCAATAATAATAGAGAAAAATTGATCTCATAAAACGAATTTTTAAAATCGATCAGATGTTAAATCATGTCGCATCAGATCCATCTAAGAATATGAACATTTTCGGGATTGTTTTTTTATTTAAAAAATAACTCTTCTAACCCCGTTTTTCCCGCGAAAAATATAACCAAACTGATCGAAACTTTTATTTTCTTAACTCTTTATGACATACAAACATTTTTTTTTTGGTTAAAAATTATCATTTTATTATTTTTTCGTTATTTTGTGGCAAAGATAAATATTAAAATAAATATATTAATCAACTTCAAATTTAAAAATAAATTAATAATTCATCGATAAATCTGATTCACATTTACACTGATATAGTGTGTTCTTTTACAACCTCGACTAGTATTGTTTTGCTCATAGATGGCAATAGCTGAATCTCGAGGATTAGGCGATATTTTTGTGGGAATAATGAGTTAGCCATTTCTAAAAATAGGCTCAAACCGAGCCCAAATTTATAGTTTCTCAAAATAATATCTTAATTTATAATTAGACCTGAGCGCCGTGATCTACATGGTCGGTTTATTTTTAATGGCGGCTGACGACGCGCGAATTCGATATCTGATAAAAAAAAATTCGCGACGCATTTTAAAAATTTCAATAAAATTAATTTGTAATTTTTTTCTTCAGTGTATTTTTATAGATCAATTTATTTAAGCACCCTTAATTTCATCGATGTTATAGAGTTCCTTAAAAAAAATTCCGTGTCAATCAAACCCTATATAAATTTATGCATTTTATTTTCATTATTCTGAAAATCTATTTTAAATCGGTTAAGTTACAAAATGCATAATATTAAATTATATTTCAGATGAGTTACGCATCCCTTGGAAGAGACATAGTATCTCGTGCTGATAACAGGCGAACCCAAGACTAAAAAGTAATTATCATTTTTGAATATCAGCCACTTATATTTATATCGGCCATCGATACCGAAAGTATAGGATTGCATTTCTTAAAAAATGTTATGTTAGTTGTTAGACCTATAAATAATCTACTTATTGATTCCGAGCAATGGGGGGGGGGGGGGGGGGTAAATAACATTATAGGGTAATCCTCCGGGACCAATTTTCTAGAAAATAAGAATATTTTTAAAGATCTTAAAATTGGAATTATTTGTTGCTATTATAATTTTCCGTAATTATAAATGGAACAATTCTATATAATTTTCTTTTTTGAGATATGAGATAATATGTAAAAAGAATTCAAATCTAAAATTAAAAATTTTTATTTTTAATAAATAATTTATTAATTGTAGCTTATAATAATAAAAAAATGCCATTTAAAATAAAAAGTATAATTAATAAATATAACATTTTTCAGCCGGCGTACAAGGATTCGCATTCCAATGTGACAAATTTCCCGCAAAGAAATCAGTTCATATTTCCTAGATACATAAACTACGTGGATAGTCTTCTGCAGCTTCACGCTGTTTGGGTGTTTGTTTTACTCGCGTTCGCGTATTTCTTATCGTGGACGATTTTCGCTGTGATGTGGTGGTTCGTATCGTATGCCCATGGCGATTTCAGTTATCGTAGTGAGTCGACACCTCAAACATGTATAACTGGCATCAGAGACTTCTATTCCATATTCCTATTTTCCATAGAGACTCAGCACCGAATTGGTTATGGCACCAAAGCTTTAGACGATAGATGCAGGTCGGGCATCTTTCTTTTAATGTTCCAGTGTGTTGTGGGGGTAATCGTGGATTGTTTGACTACGGGAATATTATTCATAAAGTTTTGTTACCCCAAGAAGAAAGAAAAGTGCATCATCTTTAGCGAACATTGCGTGGTGAATCAAAGGAACGGTTTTTTGTATCTGATGGCCAGAGTCTCGGAGACCAATCAAATCCAACTAACAAACGTTTCTATAACGGCAGTGCTATTTCGCGAAAAAATAACGCACGAAGGGGAGGTCATACCCTTCAACCCGTATTTCCTACCCATTCACACGTGGGAAGGGCAAGAAAATTGCGAGAATATTAATCTTACGGTACCGCAAATTATTTTGCATCACATAAATTCGAAATCGCCGTTGTACGATTTGGCGATTAATCAAAACGATATCATCAACGAAAACTTTCAAATTCTATTTATGGTTAACGGTTACGCTAAACCAACGGGTATACCGATCCAGGTCTATAAATCGTATTATCCAAGTATATATATTATATTATATAATTTAATAAGATTACGCCTATTGATTTAATTATTTTTTAAAAAGCTAGTATTTTGTGGGGTCATCGATTTCAAAATATGTTTGTGCTAGACAAGGATAAAAATTTTTGCGTCGATTTCATGAAGTTCAATGAGACGGTAGTTAAAGAGGTGGGACTTCAGGCTTGGCGACAAAATGTCGATAGAGGTGAAATGTCGTTTACTGATAACAGTCTGGCAGAAAAATTGACGGACATCATGAAAGAACATAATGCTATAATTATGAGAATGGAATAAACGTAATTCGCGATTTTTTTTAAACGCGAAAATTAAATATTTTTAATAATCGGTAAAAATAAAAAAATTTTAATCTTTATTCATATTCAATAAATAAACTGGGGTCAAGGGTTAATTAAGATATTAAAATTTTATGAAGTAATTATAGGTAGATGGTAGATTTGTGAAGAGGGGTGATTGCATTTTAAAACAAGCGGTTGGCAGTGCATCGATAAAACAACATACATGGTAAACAGTGTAAATTTGTTTGATGCCAACAAAATTTAGTATAAAAAATCGAAATGTAAAATTTATTTTTTTAATTTTTTCAATACGTTATTTTTACCATAATTATATCTGTAATTTTATAAGAAAAGTTGTTAGAAATATAATGGAAATAATGTCAATCATAATATTTTCTTGCAAAAGAGGTGCATTAGGATACTAAATATCTTTTCAAGAAATTTAATCATACAAACAAATGAAATTTTAGGTCATTTTGTGTGAAAATTGGAAATATATAAATTAAAATACATTTTCTTTGCCCCTAGAGGATCAGCAAAATACTTTTTGTTTAATTTTATGAACCAAAATATAATGTATCTTACTGATGTAAATTTTTCATTTAGATGAAATATATTTAAAATTAAATGAGTATCTCAAGCAAGGAGTAGGATTAAAGGTCAGAGAGCTATGGGCTAGGGTTATTTAAAGATTTGATAGATTGGTTTTTAATAAAATTTATTTGAAATAAATTTTATTTCCTAGTAAAAGTTTATTCATAAAAATATTAATATAAAACTTGTCTTATTTAGCTATTGATAAGACAACTCTCTAATTTGATTAAAATTTTGAGTTCCAATCAAATTCCTATTAACTACTATGTATTAGAAAATAGCATCATAAATTGGGCAACTGCTGTAAAAAAATCTTGCTAATATTAATTAAATTAGTTAAGTTTTATTGCATAAATAATCTCATTTCAGATATTAATGCAGGCATATCATGTTCTTTATATTTTTAAATTGGTTATTTGTCAAGAGTCCCTCGACAAATACTGCAGTAAGTGAATGACAAAGTATAAATTTATAGAAATTTGGAGAACACTTGAAGTTTTTAGATTTATAATTAAATAACAGTAATTTAATTGTTTATGCTATGTACTAGTTCAACTTATTACTAAATAACTGACTGTTAAGCTAGCTATATTAGAGATCTGCAAAAGTAGGCCAGGCCCGTACATGGCCCGTCCCAAACGAGCTTTGGGCCAGGTTCAAGCCTAATTTTTTAAAAAATCGGGTTCCAGCCAGGTTGGGCCTGATATTTTTAAATAAAATTTGAGCCGAGTCATGTCAGGCATTATAATTTTTTTTAAATATGTTTAAATTTATCAATTTTATATTGAATTTTTTATGATAGAACTAAACGCCATAACATATGGCTTTTATTTTGAGTAATTATATAAATTAATTTCTATATTTTAATAAGTTCGGGCTAGGCAGAGCCAGTAAAATTTCTTAAAAAAATATTTGGGGTTTGGACTGGGCTGGCAGAACTTATTTAAAAAAAAAATTCGGGAACCTGACTGGGCTTGAAAAATTAAGCTCAATGCAGATCACTAAGCTATATAGATTATGCTAAAAAGCCTATAAAGAAAGAGAAAAAAAAGATAAACAGAAATAAGTATCAAAATGTCGAACCTAGATATGGCTAAAATTTTTATGAATATTTATTTAGCAAAATAAATATAGGACTTCCTTACTTGTGTTATAAATTTGATATGTGCTTTATTTAAATTTTAGGTGTTATTATAAGAGAAAAACACCCATAGAACAGGGTAGATTTTTAAACTGAAAACCCACCCATTGTTTAGAATCTTTTATTTGCCCACTGGTACAAACATCTAGTCTAGTCAGCATAGCCTGGCCGTAAAAGAATTAAGTCAAGGTTAAGTACCAGGATTCAAGAAATTTTTTTTATAGCTTGTAAGCAATATGAATTTTTCTATATAAAAATTAATCACAAGCTAAATAACTTTACAAAAATTCTATGCAGGCAAAAAAATAATTACACACTAGTGTGGCCTATTCTATATAGGTAGACAGGCTGAGTTCCAGGAAAAAAGATTTCTGTTATAAATATTAATGAAATTTGATATTAGTAAATAAAAAGTGGTATTAATGCATCTATGTGATATATTTATCAAATTAATTCAAAATAAAAATTTTAATATAGGACTTACTTCCTCAATTTTTTGTAAATAATAAGGTGTTTGAATGTCATCTTCATTAAGAGTATCATCTAAATCATCAAATTTTCTTTGGAGGGTAAATGTCATTAAAAAATTTTTAAATTTCATTTGAGCCTCATTTATACTAATATCAGTGCCCCATATAACCATTTTACCTGCTGCATTATCTAAAATACTAATATCTGAGGTAGCAGATGGAGACATAACATTTTGATTTTCATCCTATCAAAAAAGTCTTTAAAAAAATTAACAAATTATTATACCTGATTGCCATCATGTAAAGTTAGCACCCTACTTCTATTACTACTACCTAGATCTGGTCTCTGTCTATATGGTGTCCCTGGACTTTAATTAAAAAATTATAAGTAACAATATAAGAGGCTCACGTTCTATCACCAGATATCAATGATCTTGGAGTTCCATATGGCATAGGAGAACTTGCCTCTTAAATAAATATTAAACATTAATTATTAATAAATTTAAAGGTACCAGTTCCATATCTTCTTCTAGAGTTAGGAGTGGATTGCAAAGACATAATGAAAAAAGGCAAATTTCGCGGGTTTTTAAATATTTAACATCCACACACAATATAAGAAATAACGATGTTTGTGATATAAAATGTAACAAAAGTTTAATATCGTAAAAATTGAGTAAAATAATGTTAAAAAGAATATTTTATATTAACGTTATATAGAATTTACAGCAAAATAATCTTTAGGTTTTCAATATTCAATTCCCGTTACTGGTTAACGGTGCACATACATACCTCCTCCTATATATCATTTTTAAACATAGTAGTTTTCATAAAAATAATATAAATAAATTTAATATAGTTCGGAGATTTTTATTCAAATATAAAAAAGAAAAATATGAAAAAAAAATTATTTATATCCCTAAAAAGCCCTCAAACATGGCGGATTTATGATGTTTAAAAAATACAAAGTTTTCTAATTGTAATCACGAGCATAGGAATAAATTATTTTGATATAACTAGTGTGTATATTCTTTTATAGATATATCGATATTTATCATTAGTTTTAAAATTTTTAAATTTTTGATAGGTAATCGCATAATAAAGTTGACTGGTGCATATATGCACGGTCAACCATCGAGTATAAATTATTTTAAAAAATTCTTACAATTCTAATATAATGAATCATAATCTTTTGTGTTATACATAGAAAAATAACCGTCACTAGGGTGAGGGTTTGGAAGGAATTTATTTATACCCAAAGAAAGGTCATTTTAAAAATGCTAGTTATAAAATGTATTTTGAAAATAATTTTAAAAAAATTTTTTGACCCACCTGAGATTAAATAGAATAATATATTGAGATCCTTTTAAAATATTTTATCTGTTAAAACAAGGAAGGCAGTGTGAAAACAATAAATTAAATAACTTTTTTTTATTTATCTAAATTTTATATATCTCTCTTTTACAATTTTCATTCTATATATATTTTTTATAATTATTTACCTATATACAAAAGAAGAATTTTATAAAATTTAATAAGATTTATTTTAAGGTTAAAGAAAAAGGGTTTAATTTGAAGTTTTTACATATAGAAAAAGAAAAGTAAGAAAGTAAATTTTTTTAGGTTATAAAATTTTAAAGGTTACATTATTCATTTTATTTTTATATTTAACATATTCCACTTTTTTTAAGTGACTTCAGTCCTCAGTTGATCATCTTATCTATTGCTCTATTAGTCATTTGTTAGTAGGGCTTGAGCTTGTTTGTTCGTTGAATCATTGTTTGTTGATTTGCTGTTTGTATTTGATCATTCCCATTTCCATTTCGCTTTCAAATTTTTATTTTTTTTATCAAAAATTTTATTTATTTATAACCATCATTTTTTTCTAGATCGCAAGTCACAATTCCGATTTTGAGCTTGACTTTGAACTCGTGAATTTTGAACTTAAAATTGTGTTTTTAAACTTGAACTTGTAATTTTTGAACTTGAACTTGATCTTCACTTCTTCCCACTTTAAAAACCTGTGTAATATTTTTATTTGTTATTATGTTTGTTGTTTAGCCTCAGTCATATTTTTTTCATTGGTTTGTTCGAATCACTTGTTATCATGATCGTCTGATCATTCGCTTGATCGTCATCATCACATTAGCTTGTTCCAATCGTTATTTATTATCATTTATATTTAATTATCATGTTTATAGTGAATATTATGATCAATTTATATCGAATAAAATTATTTTGGAATAATTGAAATGATAGTGGGTTAAATAATTTATTGGAATCATTCATAGAATAAGAATATTAATCATTGGGTTTGGGATATAGAATCATATAATATTTTGAATTGTAGCGTTTTATATAATAATTTTTTAATTATTATTAAATTTCAATTATTTTTATTTTAAATTTAAATTTTACTCCCTTATTTTTCAATTCAAACAATTCATTCATATCAAAATTTATCTTTAAATTGTTCTTTATAGAAAAAAATTTCTTTCGCCTTCCATTTTTAACATATGATCTCCATATCACATTCCTAAAAATATTTTTAATATCAATATATTTAACTCTTACCTTGTCTCTTTTTATTAATTATAAAAGTTTTTATTTTATTATTTTCTTTAATGTTTATATCATTATTTTCTTTAATCACAATTTTTTCTTTAATTTTATCATATAATTTATCTCTTTTAATTTATAAGAATCTATTTCGTTTTTATCATTTGTTATTAATTTACATAATTCAATTTTATTCAAATTTTTATTATTATGAGATTTATAATTATAATGATCATTTCTTTTATTGTTACGTGTCGCTTTATCATATTTGTTATGTAATTTTCTATTTTCATAATAATTTTTATTAATAAATTTATTATATTGATTTCTGTTATAATAATTGTCTGTGTCACGATAATAATTATTACTATGATTATTTTTATAATTTTGAGGTTGAAAATTTTTATTAGGATAATTTTCTTTAATCTCCATTACCGATTTATAATTACATAAACATTTTAATATATACATTGCTTCCTCTTAAGTTGAACTTTCATATCTTGATACCATTGCTTCCATAGCCAAAAATAAATTATCTGGTAAATTAAATTTTAAGCTTAAAGTAATTTTACTATCATAATATATGAAATAATTCTAATTTATCTACCGATTTTGTTTTATGATGCTCCCATATTGGTTTATTCATATTTTATAGATTTCATTATTAAAATTTTATTTATGTTTCACTTTTTCATTTTAATCATACCTTACGTGTTTTAGAATTAAATAAACATAACATTCCAGAATCCTCTTTCATCTAGTTTGACCATGTTCCATTAGCTAAAATCATATCTAAAATTCGTCTCTGAAAAAATATCTAAAAAAATCTCTGAAGTAGCTTTGCTGCCACCATGATAACACAAGGAAGGCAGTAAAAAAACAATAAATTAAATTACTTTTTTTATTTATCTAAATTATATATATCTCTCTTTACAATTTTCATTATATATATATTTTTATTTTTTATAATTATTTACATATATACAAAAGAAGAATTTTATATTTAAGAAGATTTATTTTATAGTATTTAAAGTTTTTACATATAGAAAAAGATAAGTAAGAAAGTAAATTTTTTAAGGTTATAAAATTTTAAAGGTTACATTATTCATTTATTTTTATATTTAACATTATCCATTCTGATCAAATTATATAAAATTATTTTAAAATATCCATCATATATGTATATTCGAAATAATTTATAAAAATTTAAAATAATTTATAACCTCTTTTTTTGCCAAACATTTTTATATATTTAAATTTATATTCATTTAACTTTTTTTTATTATGCACCTGTTTTGTCAATTCAATCAAAATATTGAAAATAATATATGACTAATTTAAAAAAAATTTAATTAATTTTTATTGAATCGTTTTCTAACAGTTGACAAGAACTTGCTCCTTTTTAAACTACCAATTGAGAAAAGAGATATAGTTATAATTCCAACAAACCTCTCGGCATAGTGATGAAGAAGATTTTGATGATAATGAGTGAATAAATGTTGAAGTTTTACTTTCACATACTGGTGAATTAGATATTAATAATTCAATTAATGACGCCATTCTAGGACCATCTTCTACAAGATGAAATTCTGTAATTTATCCCAATTTAAAATGTAGACAAATAGATTGTATTATACAAGCCCTTTCAATGAGGAAGATAAAGATATAATAAAACTTGTAAACGATTTCTTGTTAAAAGTCTACCAGATATATTTTCTTTAATTTCCGAAAGACTTATATTCCCTAATTGTAGAACTAATATATGTATAACCATCCCAGATATTAAGTGATTTATGGAATTCTATTATACTGGATATCCTTTAATCATACAATAAAGGATGTTTCGGTCTAATGATCATGATATTAATATTCTAATAATCCTGAATACAATTTACCAATTACAATTTCGAAATTTGAAATATAGAATTCATTTACAAAGTGAGAACCATACTGATTCATCTGAACATTATTTATCCACTATTATAGATATAAGCAGATATTGCCATACGCACTCAAGATATATGGCCAAACATGTCAAATCGCACTTCGTTAAACGAAGTTCCTTTAATAAAGATTTCTGTTGTTTTTTTATCTTTACAAATTGAACGTTTTAACAGCTTTTAACGTAAATAATGCATTTTAAACATGTTCGTTTAAATTAAACACCAAATAATTTTTTTTTCTTTTATATTTAGACATTTTATATTAAAAAAATAAAAATTAATGTTTCAGTTTAAATATAGTTAAGTTCACGTTTTTTTAATTTGAGTTTAAACCGCTGAAAAGTTCAATTTGTGCTCATTATTATGGTATTATACATAATTTTTATCTTTTTTAATAGTTTTGTTAAAAAGCCCGATTTAAGTCGATTTTAATGATTATAAATTTTTTTTATATAAGCTTGAAGAATTTACTCATAGCTAGCTGGCAGAAAGGTTGGACATCTATTTGCCAAATCTCGAAGTTTTTTAGCTAAAATCTTATCGGACTGTTTTGAAAAATCTACACAAATCGGGTTTTTAACAACACTATTTTTTAACTTCGTAATGATTAAGTGCACAGAAATGCACAAGGCTAAATTTGCTATTTAAGATTATTTTTTTGGCTGATATTTTTAGAATATCATATTTAAGCATATATCAATATAATTTGAAAAAATTGAGAATTTTTATCTACCAGAAAAATCTTGACAATTAATGAGTTAATAAAATAGTAAGAAATTAGTTAAAATGCTGTTTTGTAATTTATACATTCCTTAATGATTTACAGAACACGAAACATATAGTATAATATCAATTATATAATAAAGTTTATATATACCTGCAAAGTAACATGATAATGTGCATAAAAGTAAAAATGTATTTATTTATATTTAACTTAATTATCACCCTCTTTTCCATTTCACACTTCGTTTATATACATTTTTATAAGTCCAAATTAGAATACAAACGAAAAACAAAAAAGTAAAAATATTATAAAATATAAAAAGTAAGGTTATGCCGAAAGTTATAAAAATAAGGTTATGCAATAAAGTTATAAAATCAAATTACAAAAAATAATAAAAATTAGATTACAAAAAGTTCAAAAACAAAAAGTAAAATAAAGAATTAGATTATAACGCAACAATACCCACCATAAAAATGTTATACAGAACAAACTCATTATAATTGTTTGGCAAGATATATTTTTAAAAAGTAATACTATTTTAGGCTTTTTTTTCATACAGACATAAAATTTCAATATGATTCATAGTTTATTTATAATTAATAAGCATGGGTAATTATATTAATCAGAATAGCTTTAATAATTTATATATTTTCAAATATAGTGATATATTTATGGAAAAGCATTGGAAGAGCGTTATCAATCGTTCTATATGTGATTATTTATTTGAGGAACAAAAGAAAGTTTTCTTAATTTAATAATCAGTATAAAATTCAATGAATTAGATTTCAAACTTTGATACTATACCTCCTGTTATTCCAACTCCGCGACATATACTTATAAATATACATAGATGTAAATTATATTTTGTAGCTGTCTTATCTACTGAATGTAAATATACTATTTAATTTATCTTACTTATCATTTAGGCCCTCCTCTATTTATTATTGAGTTTCTGCATAAAATAGTTGATACAATTATAGATTATTTTCAGGATTGTAATGAAACTATTATTAAAGAAAATTATATTGTGGTGTATGAGGTAATATAAATATTTTTTTATAATAAATTATTTGTGCAGTTTTTAATAAGATAGTAATTTATAAAAAATTATCTTGATAGACAAGCAAGCTGGGATTAAAATAGGCTATTGGATAGGGTTTTGATAACATTGGTGATTAGTAAATACCCACAATTCAGCTGATTATAATGAACCTATAAAGTTTTTGAAAATCAGTCTGAATGCCTAAAGTTTTTAATTTATTTTAAGGTAGAGATCAAAACATCAAAATATTTAATTCAAAAAATAAATACTATCAAAAAAAAATTAAATAAACCCTTAAAAATGAGACCAATACCAATTTGTAATATTTTCAAATTATGATTACGTTCCTATGAATTTTTAAATTATGCTGAAATAAAAATAGCATATGCTTCTCCTTTGTGGAATGATTTTATTAAAAGATTTAAACTGTCCATTAATCAATTAAATGAAATATATCTATTAATTTTTATTTTAATTATCAGTGATGAAGCATTCATAGAAATCAAGGATTGCTTCCCTTGTAATTTTTCTTAAAAAATTATTAAACATAAATTATTATTACTTAATATATATATATTACATTAAAAAAATTAATACTAATACCATTTTTATTATGTTAATCACTACTTTAAGAATATTATATTTACTACTAAAAAATAGTGGGAACCAAATATAACATGTTAATTTTTTTTATAAATAAAAAGAAAATATTGTATTTTTAAAAAAAACACTCATTTTTTTTTTTATTTTTTTAATATTGATTTAAATTTTAAAATATCAAATTGAAAATTTATTAAAAATAACCTTTAGCTCTAGAAATTTTGATAAAAATAAATTGAATATCGAAGGAAGATGACCAACGTCAATTTATCAAAATTAGTAAAAATAAATCAAATTCATAATTTTTTTTATCAATAAATATGGAAAATATGAGTAGGTCCAAGATAACGAAATCCAATTTTATCAAAAATTTATTGATAGTTTTTAAAAAAGGATATTAATTAAATATATAACTTTTTAATCAATACTAGCTGGGCAATCTTAATCAACTATATTTTTTTTACCACTTAATTTTTTTAAAAATACTGCACAAAATTTTTATAAATGTTTAATTTACTGCACAAAAAAAAATATAGCTTTTATTATGATTCCATAGGTTTTAGATGAAATGCTTGACAATGGTTTTCCATTGATCACTGAATCCAATATATTAAAAGAATTAATAAAGCCTCCTAATATATTGAGAACGATTGCAAATACAGTAACAGGAAAATCTAAGTAGAATATTTAATTTATGTTACAAAAAATAATATAAATAATAGTTTAAGTTCCGATCTTCCCAAAGGGCAACTCTCGAATGTCCCCTGGAGAAGAACAGGAATTAAATATTCAAATAACGAAGCGTACTTTGATGTTATTGAAGAAATTGATGCGATTATAGATAAATTTGGTTCCGTTATATTTTCAGAAGTTCAAGGCAATGTAATATTATCGTATATAATTTTCTTTTCTTTCAAATTGTTAAAGATTGCAAGTATTAAGATATATATATATATGTTAGCGTCAATGTGTTTTTTTTCAACTTTAATTCATTTTTTAAGCGCGTTTTTTTTAATTTAAAAATCTGATTTTACCGGAAATACATTCCATCCTGTTTGGAATACCTCTCTTATGAATTATAGACAATTTTGCTGTTAACCCTTGAGTCACATCTATAATTTATACAAAAAGTTTATGGAAAATCTAATATAATTTTATTAAGTTCTAAAGTTCATGGTAAAAATTGTCTGGGAATTATAGGGTAGGTATTCCAAACATGATAGATTACATTTCGGGTAAAATCAGATTTTTAAATTTAAAAATACGCGCTCAAAAAATGATTTAAAGTTGAAAAAATAACAATGGCGCTAACATATATATAAATGTGATTAAAGATGTTATCTCAACCATAAAGGTTAAAAAAAACTGTGAGGAAGAACTTTTAAAAACCAATAATTTTATTCACCAAAATTATTTATTAAAATCTGTATTCTCAAAAATATGAGTTGCAGGATATTAGTAATTTAACTCTTACTTCTTTCGAAAAATTTACCCTCCTCTTAAAATAAAATCCTAGACATGCCAGTTTAGTTTGACGATATACGAATTTACCATCTTAAATTTTAAGATCCTTCAAACTTTCTAGATATGGATGAAAATTGTTTTTTTTCTCCTGCAATATTGTATTAACAATTTATTTAATGGTTAGGAATAATATATCTTCATCATAATTGCAAGCAAATGAAAATTTTTAGTTTTTAAATTGATATAAGTGTAAACACATGTATTTTTATTCATAATCTCATATTAATTTCTCTCTTTTACTATAAAGATGAAAGAAAGAAAAAATATAGAATCTAATAGGGCTTCGAAATTTCAATCTTAAATTGATATAAAATGTATTCCAGAATATAATGCTTACATTATGAATTTCGGATAACCTTTTTATGGTGAACTTTCGAATTTCTCTTAATTTATAATTTTTTTATATTCATTTATAATGTAACTTTAAATAAATGGTATGATTATAATTCAACAATGTGGGCACTATAGATTGCCTTCAATAAATAAATAATTGAGAAATTTTAAATCCCTATAATTTGGTATTTAATAGCATAGCTAGCAACAAAAGTAATTATTTTATGCATAACAATTTTATCAAAACCTCATCAGATCGACTGTGCCATAAAACTGAGCGGCATGCCTGAACTCACCATGAATTTCACGAATCCCAGAATCCTAGATGATTCTAGCTTCCATCTCTGTGTGAGACTCAAACACTGGGAAACTGAGAAAAAACTCAATTTTATTCCCCCTGACGGTAATTTTAGGCTCATGTCATACAAGGTTTGCTCATGTTCATTATGTTATATGTGTATGTATATAAGTAGATAAATGATACTAGGCTTATCTAAAATTTTCTTAAGGAGGGGTTTTACCATGAAAGGGTTTTGGCTCGTTTTTCATTCATTTTTTTGAAGAGGGTGATTGGAGAGTATGAAGGATATGATTTATTTTATAGCACCCCATGAATTTTGATTGATTAGTAAAAAAAACCTACAACACATTAATAAGAAAATAGTCCAAATATTATTATTTGAAATAAAAATTAATGATTTAAAAAATAATAATGAGTTATTAAATAGGTTAAATTAAAAAAATTATTCAATTAAAACGTATCGTTTCAAAGTTAAGGAAAACATATTAATATTATTACACAATCGTTTGTATTTTTATTGGCATAAAATCCCAACTAAAATAGACTATTGATATGTCGATATACGCTAAAAAAACTTAGAAGCCACTAGGATACCGGTCTAGATTTGTTAAAACGTTAAACAATTATTTAGTTTGAATCAAATCGATAAAGCTGAATGTTGAGTAGTCGATTAGGTTTTTTATAATAATGCAAACTAAACCGATTCATACTGAAACAACTCTAATAAGTGGCCTTAATAGAATTGAAAAATATCCTTCAAGAAACTGATAATATAAACTTTAGAAATCCATTTATGTTGATTACTTTATAAATTATTAGTATAATAATAATAAAAATTTTTATCCATCAAACAATACCCATATTATAAGGTAAACTCCAACCTGGCCACAAATAATATGATCCCATTGCACGTGCAGCATTCTATTACTTACTCTAATCCCTCAAATTCATCCGAAATTTCCGCTTCCAAATCAAGCGGAGGAGGTGGTAATAATTTGTACAACTATAGCAGTTCAAATGTTAATGCTAATCACAATAATGCGACAAGTAATTTTAGCAGGAGCTCAACGGGTAAATTGGATATTGTAGTGGCGCCTAGGAATACTGCCGGGAAAAATGTAAATATATTTTAAAAAATTAGTTTCTTTTATCTTACTTTTCAATAGTAAGAAAGAAAGAAATTCAATAGTAATATCAATAATTTTTAGTGTTGCTGATAAATATCCAAGTTTTTTAAACTTCGACTAATCGATCCGCCATTATTTTTATTATTTTTACCGCACAACGAAATTTAAAAAAAAATAATGTTAACTACTTTCTTTGAGTAAAGTTGAAAGTTAATCCCGCTATTATTATTAATATGGTTTCGCGTAATTTTGAATTTGTGGTATCCAGAAAAAAGTTATTAAAATGTATCTACTTTTATTCTCAATTAAACAGTATTTCAATATTTATCACTTAAATATTTCTCAATTTCAATTTCTCGATTTTTGGTTAATCTTTATTTCAATTCAAAATAAGTATTCAAATATGTATCAAATCTCGAACAAAATATATATTATTTTTTTTAAATTTTCTTATTTTTCCCTAATAAGTGTTCGTATCCTGGTTGGTCACAGCACCATTAAAATGTATTCTCAATTAAACAGTATTTCAATATTTATCAAATAAATATTTCTCAATTTCAATTTATTCTCGATTTTTGGTTAATCTTTATTTCAATTCAAAATAAGTATTTTTCAAATATGTATCAAATCTCGAACAAAATATATATTTTTTTTATAATCATAAAAAAATAACAATCAATCTATCTTTTTTTAAATCTTTTTCAAAATTATATTTCAAATCCAATCCGCTATTCAATAAATATTACTAATAATGATAATAAACAATCAATATATATATATTATTTTTCTAAATATCAACTATCAATTGATTGACATATATTAATAATGTTAAAAATACTATTTAAATATATTATTATTTGAAAATATATATCATGTCCGCCCTAAAAAAATATATATATTGATTGTTTATTATCATTATTACTAATATTTATTGAATCGCGGACCTCATAAAAAACTGCAATATTCTCATTCACGTTCTACAAAATCAAGAGGGAGATAAACATCTTAGTGAAATAGATGAGACTCCAGGAACAAGTTATTTTTGTGGGAAAAATAATATGATAAAGCCGGGGGTTGCTTATCATAACTATAACAAGATCAATGAGATAGAATCACGACATAAACAGTATGGAAATAGACAGTGGCCGCCTACTAAATATGACGGGACGTTAAAAAAAACAAAGAAATGAAAAACCCTCCAAAAAAAACGCGGAAGCAATATTTTACATTTATAAGTCTTCTTCTTTATCCTTTAACATCTCTTCCTCTTCAGTTTCCATAGAATTATATTTCTTTTGAAAATCAGTACTGTTTGTCACTTTAACTATAGTTGACCCCAACTTTGTCGAATTCTCGTTTGTAGCTTGCATTTTCCCGTAATATTTGAATTTGTTTCCCATCGATGTATTTATTACTCCTAATGTCCTATCTTGAATTCCATTGGTTTTTTTAAACGTCCCATCATATTTAGTAGGCGGCCACTGCCTATTTCCATACTGTTTATGTCGTGATTCTATCTCATTTATCTTGTTATAGTTATGATAAGCAACCCCCGGCTTTATCATATTATTTTTCCCACAAAAATAACTTGTTCCTGGAGTCTCATCTATTTCACTAAGATGTTCATCTCTCTCTTGATTTTGTAGAACGTGAATGGGAATATTGCAGTTTTTTATGAGGTGTCCGTAGGATTGACACCTGAAACATCGCTGGAATTCCTCAAATTTCTGTTTTTTGATTCCCATTTTTCTTTTTTTAACTATCTTCACATAGATAATTTGTTCACTTGTTTCGATTTTATAACTCATCTTATTATATATATATTTTTTTAAAATTAATACACGAATTTAAAAAAAAAAAATTTTATTTAAATTTTAAAATTATCGAAAATAAAAATATAATTAATAATTTAAAAATTTTTTTACAATTATTAATTATCACTCTTAACTAATTTTTCTCTTTTTACACATAATTATTTACATATTACCCCTAAGTAATTTATATACAAAAATAATTTCTCCATTTTCTATAACATACATTATTTACATATTTCCCTTATGCAAATTATATAAAGAAAGAAACTTTCCATGAAAACACCACTCATGTTTTTATTTTAAAAATTTTTTTGTTCTTCACTTTTCTTTCCCTAAAATCGCATTAAATATATGCAATTTATTTAAAGAAAAAAAACTTTCCACTAAAATACACTTGTATTTTTGACATATTTTAATTTTCACTTTTCTTTCCCTAAAACTGTATTAAATATATATATTTATCACTTGTGTTTTTACAATATTTCGATTTTATAGTGATATAGAGAAGATTATCACTAATTTGATTTTATGATGTTATAGTGATATAGAGAAGATTATCAATAATTTGATTTTATGAGGGAATATTTTTTTAAATGTTATTTTAAAAGAAAAGAAGATAAATTGGAATTAAGAAATATTTAAGTGATAAATATTGAAATACTGTTTAATTGAGAATAAAAGTAGATACATTTTAATAATATATTTAAATAGTATTTTTAACATTAAAATTATATTTCAAATCCAATCCGCGATTCAATAAATATTACTAATAATGATAATAAACAATCAATATATATATATTATTTTTCTAAATATCAACTATCAATTGATTGACATATATTAATAATGTTAAAAATACTATTTAAATATATTATTATTTGAAAATATATATCAGTTATAATAATTGGTTCCCGTTCTAAATCGCGAAGAAACGGCAAAAAATTGGAAATCTCGCTTATAACTCCTAGTTAAATTGATATTTATAGTTGCTAAAGATGATATTTCATCCATTTTAGAATTTTTTTTAAAAACTCAGTTTAAATACATGTGCTTACTTCCCTGGCATCTTTTAATAGCAATTTCAAGTTTACTTTAAAAATGTTCGGGTTTTACCTTTCTTTTATAATTAGTTAATTATAATAAGTGAATAATTTGAAAATTATTTTAACTTTTTTTTTATAAATTAAGTATTTTCATCCGATAATATAAATACTTTATGAAATGGAAATAGGAAACGTAAGAAGTAAATGAATTAAATATATTTTATTTATATATAAATATTAATCGCGATTTTCGGCGCAGACCGTGTTTTATATTCAGCTGCATGGATATTTAAAAAAAATAGGGCCCAGTATTTTTTTAATTTAGTAAGCCAAAATTCGATTGGGACTTTTTTTATTTAATTATATTGTTATTATTTGAGTAAATATTTTATTGCTAATTTATAATATAGCTTTTTAAACATTTTTTTGTTTCTCTTTTAACTTTTTTTAAAAAAATTTTTTTTTACTATGATTTAAGATTGAAAATTGCACCATCGATATGCTGATGCCCAAAGCCGTTTCCAATATGTGTCTAACACCTTCGCAAGGCACCTATTCTTTCGATACCGTCACGAAAGTACTGGAATGGGATATCGGTAGAATTGAACTATATAAAAGCGCTCCGCAACTCAAGGGCACCGTAAATTTAAAAAAATTTAAATAGATTATTGTAGAAAAAATATTTTTATATTTTAAAAAAAGTTGAAAAAAATAAAATAAATTTAAAAAAAAGGGATAATAAAATGACTTAAACTTATAAATACAGCGTTTTATAGATGAAACAGTTCGCTTAAACAGGGTTGTGAACCCGGATTGCTTTTTAGGAATTTTAGACTATTTAAGCGGAAATGTTGATAACAAGAACTTAATCGAAACCGATTTTTAAAAAAATGTCCGAACCCGCTGTTCCGTATTGTCAGGGTTGGGTGGAGTCTATGGTATAAATGCCCAACCAAACAATTTCATCTGGTCCGCTTGAATACCTGCCCATTTACAGCCGTATTTTTTAGTTAGCCAGTCATAAGTCAATGTTATATTTTTTTAAGACATATTATTTCGTTTAGAATATAAACTGAAATGCAAAGAATTTTTTATTTTCTTAATTGCTTAGAATTTAAAAAAAATTTTAAGGGTCAAATCTTTTACTGAATTTCACCCATATTTCTTATTTTCTGAAATGATTCATTTTTAAATCTGAATGTTTCGATTTTATACCTGAACAATTAGTTAAAAAAATATTTGGGCAATATTTATTTGGGCATTCGATCATTGTTTAATAGTTTGAATAGTTAAATACGCACGTAAGTCTACTTTCATTAAAAAAAAATTATTTTGGTATTATTATTATTATTTTATTCAAACAATTAATTATTCTTCCCAGATCTCATTGCAATCGGGCTCTCCACCTCCAGAATTTAACCCAACCATAAACTTGCATTTCGATATCCCGCAGTTGGCTATATCAGGGCTTCGAGTTTGTCGTTTGGACATGAGTCAGGCCGAAAAATACAAACCATTTAAGGGAGTCAAATATCTCACAAAGGCAGGAAAATTTCAAATTCGAACTTGAATATATAATAATTTTCTATTTATATAGATTAATTTATTCTAATAATATTACTTTATGTATATACTGGGTTATAAGAAAATTAATGAGTATTTTTAGGAAATATGAATTTTTTTATCATGTTACAATATATTATTTATGATATCCTATATTACATTTGCATTTTTTACATTTGACTCCAATATATTTGGATATACTCTTAGCAAATTTAATTACAGAACCATCTTGGAATGTTAATAACACTTAAAAACATTTTATCAAACAAAAATATGTAAAGAAGGGGTTGGTAACACTATAGTTGGGTAATAGCTGATTTTTTTTTGGCTGGGGCTAAGCCTTAGCAGATTTTTTTGTCTAAGGCTAGGCCTGAGTCAATTTAATTCTGATCGGCTAACGTCCATCAGCGTTTCGTAAGATATGCCTAGCCTTAATTACTATTTATTTATTTATATTATTTCTATATATTTTATTTTTATACTTATTGCTAAATAATGTTTTATTATTATTAAAATTAACATATTATATGATTTAATATTTTTTATTTATATTAAATTAAATATTATTATGTTATGTAAATTGATTTATTTATTTGATATTTTTTTAATAAAAAGATGTCATGTGTTTTTGTTAATGAATTTTTCGTCCAAAAGTTTAAGCAAAAAAAATATTTGAAGTTAAAAAGTTTTTGAAGATATATTTTAATTTGATCAGAATTTTAAATCTTCTTTGTAAGGAAATCCTTTCTGAGAAATTCTTTTGTGATTTTTATAAAACAATCTTTTAGGTGAAATCTTTTACATTTTTTGATCATTTTTGTAAAATTATCTCTTTTTTTATGTATATTAAAGGTGGTTTTAATTTTTTTAAATATATATATTTATATATTAAACTTTTTTATGTTATTTTTTAAGGATAATACTTTACAATGACAATTGTCATATTCTTTATTTTTTAACATTTTTGAAATATTTTGGCGCAAATTGTTACAATCATATATTGTAATTATGTTAATATATAAATTCAATGAAGATGTTTTTTTTGTAAAGGAGGTTGTAATAATAGGTATTTTTAAACATATTTAAATTTTTTTAAAGCTATCGATTTCAAACATATATTGTAAAGATGTTAAATTATAAATACAATTTAGATGTTCTTTGGAAAAATGACATGTCATAATCGATATTTTTAGACATATATTAATTTTTTGACAACAAAAAATATAGAAAATTTTATCCTAAAGATTGTTTCATAAAAATCACAAAAGTCAAAGGATATCCTTACAAATAAGATTAAAATTATGATCAAATCAAAATATTTGCTCAAAAATCTATTATTTTTATTTTTTCTTAAATCTTTGAGCGAAAAGATCATTCGTCGGTCTAGAATTGGAGTGCTCCACTCGACATTTTCAAAATTTTTGAGTTAGAAGTGGATAATAACTTATTTATTCTCAATAAATATAATAATAAAAACTAGATTAAAAATGTTGATTTTCTCATTTTAAACATTTGCGCAAGTGGATTACTCCAATTCTAGACCGACGCATTAATAAAATGTAACAAAAACTTTGTTATAAAATAAATAGTAATTTAAGCTAGGTATATCTTATGAAACGCTGACGGAGTTAGCCGATCAGAATTAATCGGTTTAGGTTTAGCCTTAGCCAAAATAAATCCGCTACAGCTTAGCCTTACCCAAAATCATCGGCTGGGCTAAGCCAATTAGCCAACTATAGTAACAGATTTTTATACTATATCGATATTCCAAGATGTTTATGCAAAAATAGCTGTCAATCTTGTGCCAATATACACTTTTACAATTATATTATTTCATTATCGGTAAAATTATCCGTTCAACGCTAATTTTATATTATTTTTTATGAAGTGTATACAGACTATTTTATTAACAAGGTATTTTGATTTATATATTTGAAAAAAAAATATATCTATTAATGCAATAAGGTTTATAATAAAAACATATGATTATTCCGTTTTTTTTGGTTTATAATAATATCTAATATGTTTCTTTTCTTTTTGACCTGAGCCTTTATATTAATATCCAGGATGAAACGAGAAAAATTAGCAATTCAAGTTATTCCTGTTTTTTTTAATATAATAGAACTTTTTAAGAAAATATCGATGAAAGTAGTAAAAAAAATATGTAGGGGATATAAAAAATGTTGGAAGAGGCATGGGAGATAAAAATATTGAAAGGGCTTTAGACTTATAGGTGGCTTAAGAAAGTATTGATTTTAAAAATTTTTGCTAAAATGCATAATACATTGAGAAATATTTTATTTTATTATAAAAATATATGGAACTTAAAATGGGGTGGATGGGTTTCCACTGTGTTAGATTCCAACCGAACTCTCACCTTTTTCTAATTTCATTAAATAAATAGAAATTAAATTAAATCATTATTTTTCTTATCTCATTTTCAAAGAAAAATTGTCAATAAAAATGATAAACTTTGTTATATGTATTTTATATTTAAAAAAAATGGAACCTAAAAGCTTCACTATCTTGATGTTTCTGGCCAATCTCCATCTAACCGTGGATCTATCCCGTACTGTCCCAGAAAACCTAATATGAACCACACATAAAATCTGGTGCCTGTAGATCCCTTCATGATAGTTGCACTCATATTGCGGTACAGAGAAATACGTTCATTCTTTCGAAAGCGGAGTTTTCCTAAAATTAATGTTGGTATTTTTTTGCGTAATGGCATTTGATATTAAAGCGGGGGATAAAAATTATCCTGGTAGCATAGGACTGTTTTACAACTTTGTTTTGCTAATTACATAAATCGATCATGCGCTGGGCTGCTCATTCTATGTTTATTAATCTTTATTCTCAGAAGACTGGTCAAGATTTAGTAAATAATTATAGTGTATATTTGCATTCGTGCATTTAAATTCACATCATATTTCATGATTTTTCAATATAAAAATAAACTGTATGATAGTTAAATTAAAATCACAATTATTTTTTCTTACGAAAAAAATCGATTTTAAATTATCAATGTCAAGCTATATACAATTAAATAGTGTGTTGATTCTTTCTAAGATAACAAGATATGAATTTGAGAAAATGCGTTATAAGTTTAACAATGATGAAGATCTAAGACAAAGGGTAAGATAAAATATTTATAACCATTTATTGAGTAGTAAAGAATGTTTATTATGAAATTCGATATTTAATTTTATATAACTTCTTTTGTCACCTTAAACTTTCTAATCAAATTTAGTCTTACTAATATACTGCTTTCATAAAGTGTATGTTGCTTATAGGAAATTTATTAAATCATGTTTACTATTTATTCTCTTAGTTGGCTGAAAGAGGATCTAACATTGATAGCCTACTTGAACACCATAAAACTCATCATGACAACCTGGACAAAGTTCTAGAAAGTTTTAAGTAAGTTGTTAAATTATTAGTTATATGAGCTAATCAATTTATAAATAATCAGAAAGGATATAAAATGCCCTCAAAATAAATTTATAGCCTTCCCAAATAGAATTTGTAAAAAAATTGAATATATTAAGCCTCATTTAATGTAAGCATGATTTTCTTACACAATGTGAAATTAATTATTGCATAATTTACAAAAGTAAGCTAATATTAGATATAATTTATAAATAAATACACAGCAAAATGGTTAAATTGCTAAAGTTGTTAACATATAGTTCAAAAATTACTATAGCTGATTTCTCTAATGATTAATCTTGTATCACTTGCACAAATTGTTCTAAATAATGCAATCAAATATTGAATCGGTTGTTTTGAAACCCAATTCAATATTCCATATCAGCACATCCCTATTTACAACCATTTATATATGCACAATCAGTAGCGTGACTAGCCTTTACAATTTCAGGGAGCTAAAAAAATATTGTAGATTTTCAAATTTACATTTTTTAGCTAATATTTTTAGGATCAAATTTTTCAGTGAGTTTAATTTAATACCTTGTGCCCCTCCCCCTTAATGCTACTATTTATAAATATATATAGACTACATCTTAAAAGGCAAAAATATATACCCAAAATTGTCAATTTGATTTTTACTTAATTTACATTAAAAATATGGCATATATGTAAAGAAATAATATTTGTAGCCCTGAGATTTTTAAAAAGTCTACTTTTAAATTTAATAATAAAATTAATTATATAGTTTTATTTATCCCTTTTTTTATTTAAGAATCATTTGGATCCTTTAAGCATATATCATTTTATTAAAGCACATAATATAAATATTATTTATAATCCTCTTTTAACAGTAACAATCATTTATTTGACACTGAATCTTCCATAATCCTAATTCACTTGTCAATGGCACATCATATTTTATATTGATTCTATTCTTATTTGAGAACCAAAATATTAATATTTTATGTTAAAAATAATATATTATCAATTCTATTTACCCTTTAATTCAAAATATAAAATTTTCTTTTTTTTAACCTTTTTATTAAATAAAAGAATGTAAAATTATTTATTATTTTTTTTTAAAATTTTTTGTAATTTTGTTTTGAAGGACAATTTACTTCCTTTTTTCTCAAAAATTTATTATTATAATTATATAATGTGTAATAGTACACACAAATTTTGAGCGTTTCAAACGCTATGGTAAAATTACCTTTTGGAGTTTATAGTAAACGCGTTATCTTCAAGCGTTTCGTTATTTAACGCAATGTTATTACACCTGATTCAATTTTAAAAACTGATTTAAGATAAAGCTAAAATAGAGATAATTATTTTATATAATATTTAAGAAAAATCTTATACCTTTTTATCAAATTCGCGATTATGTTTTTAATCATATCGCACATTTTTTTATCAACATACTACAATAAACCTACGTAATTACTTTATGAAATATAATGTTCAAATTTTTTGGATAGATATTTGGCCAAGTTTGATTTAAAATGGTATTTAGCTTAAGCTATCCCTAAAAAATAATCAACCATATTTTGGTAATAAAATATTATAACATAAGCCAAATTATTCGAAAACATAAAATCTCGGATGATTTCTTTATGTGTATTATTAGTTGATGAACCCTTAATGCCTTGAGGATGAGAGGGAATATTTTTAAAAGCCTATAAATAAATTTTTTTTGTCTTACTTTAATTAAATATTCGTTTTCTTTGTTTATATATTCGCGTTTCTTTTCTTTTTTTTTACATTTGTTCACTTTTTATGTTTCTTTCCTTTTCTTTCTTCTTTTTTTAAAGAAAAATTATCTAAAACCATTATGTTTAAAAAAAAATAGAATTTAAGAAATAAAACGTATTTAAATATTTATATATTAGGCTAAGTCCAAAGTTTTTTTTAAAAAAATTCGAATTGTTCTAGAACTTTTAAAAGTTTTTTAAAATTTTCTGGAATTATATTTTGGACATGTTTTTTATTTTTATATTAAAAAGTTTTAAAAGTTTTATTTTTTGATATTTTGGACTTAACCTTGTAAAAACGATAAAACAATAATATGGACCTCGTGATAAAAAAATACCTAATATAGATGTTATCACGGGAATGAAATAGACATTGTATAATAAATATTTTTGTAGTAAATTTTTGCGCTTGTCAGATTTTGCGTAGGGCGTGGGTAATTCCTTCTAAGGGATAATAATATTAAACCATCGGCCTTTGCCCATGTACCTAAATTTATCGGCTTTATCTAGCTTAGGGTGTTAGCTCTTTTTTTATGACTTAAAATAATATTGTATATCGCTCTACGTATAAGGTATCCACCTTTAAAAAAAATTAAGATGAATGAGATAGTGCCATTAAGTCTTGCTGACGAGATTAAGCTAAGACATAGAGTATGTAACCTGTGTCGAGTCCATGAAGAGTTCCACGTAAGGATCTTTTCCTTCAATTCGCTAGTTAAAATTGGTGAGATTTTGTACAGTGTTTTTTAAAATGCTCAAAACTCGCTACTCATAACTTAAGTATATGGGTTAGAGAAATAATCCCGACGATTGAACAAGAATCCAAAAGAATGACCCCTGCGCGTGAATCGCGCAAATCTATCCGAACACGAGTTTTAAAAATCGACTCTAACCTGAGCAGACTCCATGGGCAGATCTAATTAACAAGATCCAAAAATTGATATTGCTCATTGGGTTCTGCGAAATCGACTTTCGAAAGAAAAAATTCGAACTGAACCTACAACCAGGAGAAAAATTACTCTAAGTGTAGAAACGGCCTGTGAGGATTTATTAAAGTTCTCCCTGGGTAAGGCTAAATACGAGGTTATTATTATTTATTTATAAAGGTTTTAAAGGTATAGAAATTTTCCTAAACAAAAAAATCTTTTTCCAATAACAAATATAAATTATTCATAAATATGTAAATTATTTGCTAATCGTAACTAATATTATTAATTATCTTTTTGAATTAAAGCTACTGATAATCAAATAAAAAAAATTCCTGGCATTTGTAATATTTTTTTTAATTGTAATAGAATAAAGTCCTACCTAAGGCCTCATTTATAGTAAGCCCGTTATGTTCAAGCGGAGCATTATTAAGCGCGACATTATTTACAAAATCAAGCCAATAAATAGGTATAATTTATACATATGGAGTGTTATGATTATAACACTATTAAGAATCAACTGTGATTTCGATAGCATCAAATAACGTACCTTTCGAACATAACGCGTTTACTATAAATTCAGCAGCTTAAAATAAATTTCATGAAAACACCAAAATTTAAACAAATATTATATTATATAAATTGATAAGATCGTGCGATCAAAAATGAGAGGAATTAAAAAGGTTCTTCTTAATTTTGTCAGCATCTATCTTATAGGCACTAATATGAGTACCAAAAATCGCGTCTTTAGCATTGCTAATTAGGAAAACTTTATGTCTGAATAGTTAATTGTTTTTATAATTTGCATCTTACGGTATCCCGATTATGAATTTTGCGATGTTTGTATTTTTTTTTCGTTACCTGACTATAAAATTTATTAATTATTTCGTCATTCATATTAACAAATACGATTATTCTACTTGTACAAAATCGAATATTATTCAATTCGAAATTTACGAATCGCATACAAATATTACATTAATATTTTTTGAAGGCTTACTTACGTTTTTTAATGATGAAGAAATACTCATATAACTTGGGGGGAAATAATTGTTATCATTATCATTACACGCGTCTGTTTTTTTAATCACGTACACTTCCATTATACTATAACTATAAAATTCTTTGTTACTTGTGGTTATGGTTACAAAAATACGACTCTAATCTTCGTTTTGAAAAATGATTTATAGATGTAGAAATAAGGTTTAAAAAAATAACATGCTTCGTAAGGAACATGTTAAATACTAATTTGAAATATTTACGAATAATGTCGAATATATTCGATAAATTTTGAATTAATTCGAAAAAAAATCAAATTATACAAATAATTTTATCGAATAAAGAATTATTCGTTTTAGGTATACGTGGTTCATATGATTATGTATAAGTATGGGTTCTCGAATAAATGTATGCAAAATAAATATCACCCCTTCTTTTTTTTTCTTTTATAAAATTAAAGGCAAAGGCATATCCAAACCAAGCTAGTACGCAGAAGCGAGTACGAAACGGAAAATCTGAAATCTTACGACGCTATATTCACCTGCGGCGGTGATGGAACTTTTCTATTAGCCGCTAATAAGGTTTTCTATAATAGATTAAATAGAAAGAAAAATTATAAATGAGGTTAATACATTTATTTAAAAAAAAAAAATTGGACCATTTTTACTCCAGGTCACAATTTTTTACAAAAAATAATCGGGTAGGTATTTTTTATTATAACATTTTTAAGGATTGATCAAGTTTTTTAGATTATTTTATTTTTATAAATACCCAACGAAGGTGCACACATCCCTTATACCAGTCATCGGAATCAACACAGATCCGCTCAACTCTGAAGGCTATTTATGCCTTCCTAGCAAATTTACCAAAAATTTTGGCATAGCGCTCGATAGACTTATCAAGGGAGAATTTAAGTTAACTTTTTAATATCTTATATTTTATCTTTAATTTTTATTTATATATCTCTCTTTTTCGTTTATTTTCATTTTATTCCTTATTTTTTCTCACATATTTACTTATATTTTTCATTAATTTTTGTTTATTTTTCTTTCTTTTTGTTTTCATTTTATTCCTTATTTTTTTCTCACATATTTACTTATTGGATGAATATGTAAATGATAGGTGGCTTAAACGGAATCGCATATCGGTCACCTTAACCGGCAACCGAAATCTCTTAGGCTTGAGTACGCCAACATTTCACGAGTTCCGGTTCGCCGAACACGTGCGGGAACTCGAACGCACGCGTAGCACTTCTCCATTGAACCCCAGCGCATCGCTCGATTGCGCATCGTCCCGGAACGGAATTCCGAAGACCGAAAAAGCAAAAGCCAGTAAATTATTTAGAGGCTATAAACATTTATAAATTGTTTGCTTTTAAATATTCAAAGAATGGAATAAGTTTTTGAAATTTAATTTTTTTTTGAGGTTCTCCCCACATGGGGGAAATCTGGTTAAGAGATTGGTCAAAGCCATAAATTTATACCATTATTAAACATATGATTTTCACACAATCTCATTTAGCCTGAAGTTAACTGTCACTTTTATCACATTTTGATTTTTTATTAAAAAATATTTTATGGGCACGAAAAACTTTGTTCTCAAATATAAAAAAATGGAATAAACTATAATTTGTTAAAAAATATATATCTTTCTTTAAATTAAGGCTGCTTTCATAGTAGCGTCAGATCCGATTTTACCTCAAAACATCTGATTCGTAAACTTCCGGCAAGGCATTAATAGTGATTTTTTTTTAAAGTTTCAGTTTATAACAAATCATTGTTATATAAATAAAAATGGATTAATAATTATATAAAATCCTTTTTAAAAGCCGAAAGATATTATAAACACAGAAACAAAATAAAAATATTTCGACTATATTATAAATTACATATATGTATATTACAGAATTAAAAAATTGGTTCAGAGGAAGAATTAAATATATTTATATTTTAATTATCATTTTAAAATATTACATTTTTATAATAAGTATGAAAGATTAAATTTATAATTTTAAACATTAAATTTTTATGTTTTTATATTTAAATAAATTGATTTAAAATTTATTAACACACAATTCCTACATTACCTTTTCATAATACATATGAAAAAATAATTATAAATTGAAACATTAAATTTTAATATATTTAAATAAACCTAGCAAAAAATTTTCACCTTACAAATTCCCACATTACCTTTTTGCATGAAAAATTATACACTATTAAAATACTATTAATCAAAATTAAAAATATAGGAAATACGTTTTATAATTATTTATAACATTTATATTCCCATGGCAAAATAATATTATTGTGTATAATTTTATTTATAATATAATTTGCATATTCCAAATTTAATATATTTTTTTGAAAAATTGATAGCATTCTTATTTCATTAACAGCTCTATTTGAACCCGATTTTTAAAAACGGCTAGCTCATTATTTTAAGAAGATAAATATTGCATAAGCCTCTAGATTTCGCTAATAAGGTGTGTAAACCTTTGTGCCACCTATGATCAAAATCTTCAGGCTTGCCCTAATATTTTTCTTGATAAAATTGAGTTTAGGCCTTTTTGATAATCGACTCACAATATTATGTTGGATTATACTGCTATGCTATCGTTTAGCGACGAATCTACGCCTTACTTGAACAATATAAACGAGATTAAGAATATTATTCGCATTTCTATTATGAGCTACGATCCCAAAAATTATGCTTTTATTTATTTTTTAAACTATTTAATATTGATCATCATTATCATGAATTATATTTTGCTTGTTTATTGAAATTTTAATGCATATATTAAATACTTACGTTTACCAAATTGAACGTAATATGAAAAGCCTTTTTTAACTATATTTATTAAATTAGTTAATTTAAAAAAATAAATAAATAAGATTTAGTATAATTGTTAAACTTTGTCCAAAACGAGATTTAACATTTGTCGGATATTAAAAAAATTCTTTGACTTCAATATCTTAACGGAACTTAGGCTATTATGAATATTTATATCGTTTATAATAAGAATGATTGCTTATGACGAATAATTGACGGATCGAACGTAAAATTGTATCCGACTTTGTTATGAATGCCATTTAAATTGTTGTAAATAAAAAAAAATATATTTTATATAAATAAACCCCGAATATATAAATTAGTTAATTTTTAATTAAAATTAATCCTAAAAATTTCTAAAAATTGTGACTCTCAAAATTTTATTTGTATAGTTTTAAGATAGGAAAATCGCTAATTTTGGTTTTATATAGGAAATTCTTACAAAAAGCCCAATGAAGCTGAGGCCCTCCCTGATGGCTATAGCACTACATGAAAGTTAATTGGCGCAATTGGATCCTACCGGGAATGCATAATCATTCTTGTTAAAAGCTAATTTGAAATTTTTAAACAACGCGCATCAATTTTATTTTTTCTCTTATTACAGGTGTAGTTTTTCATATTTAACGAATATATTTTACTATAGTTACATGAAATTTGGAGCAATGGCTTTAAAAAAAAGAGAATCAGACTTAATGGGTTGACTTTCACTTAAAAATAGAAAAATCAGGTTATAAAAATTTCAGATTCTTTGATATTTTTAAAAGCTATTACTCAAATTTCATGGAATTAAATTTAATGGCGTTATTTATGTAGTTTTGAATTTCTATTTATTGCACAATATTTCTTATGTCCCGATGTTAAAAACGATAAAAGTTTTATTAAAAGTATAAATATAAATCCATTTTTTAAAAAAAAATATAACGCTAACCCATATCTTTACTCTCTTATTTTTTTTTCAAGCTTCCTTCTCCAGGAAATTGGTATGAGAAGAAAAATAACAAGTAGATGCCCGAAAACTTATTAAATTACTCCCCATATATATATTTATTTGTCAAACGAAGAAAGCGCCCTTTATATCGGAAAAATATTAAAATTTTTTTTAAAATATACGCGTTTTTTAGTGCAAAATGGTTACCCTTCTAAAATCAGTAACGGTCATCTTCACGACATAGTTGATGACGTGGTAAAAGATGGCGATGATGTCCTGACCACCTATTCCCTTCCCGATTTAGCTCTAAACGAAATTTTTATCGGAGAAAATTTATCCTCCAGGTATTCATTTTCCTATACCATTTTAAATTGTTTATTTTTTATATTTGGTCTTTTCTTTAAAAAAACCATTTTAAAATTGATGATTATCAATTACAAAGGACGCCACTAACATAAGGCCGGTCTGTTTTGAGATGACAACCTTTCACGTTTTTTCTTCTATATTTACAAAAAAAATTTGGAAAGTGAACCGCCATTTTTTATTATTTCGATAATTTCGTAATATTTATTTTATCGTTCAACGAATACTATGTGTTTTGTGTTATTCATAAAGCCTTGGTGTCTAGCCCGTCCCACTTAATAATATAAGTTTTTTTTTATTTTTGTGTGCCTTGTTTAAATCGATTTTGATTGGACCGAAATCGAATGACGTGCATAATATAATATCTCATCTCAATTTGGCATCCCATAATAGGGTCTCCTACTACGAACTATCGATTGACGGGTTGGAACCTATCAAACAAAAAAGTTCTGGTCTAACCGTTTGCACCGGAACAGGATCATCATCCTGGTCATTCAACATCAACAAGATCCCAGTCCATTCCGTCGCCGAATTAATGAAAATCGGTAAATACTTTCTATTATATCATTTTATTTGTTGATATTTTGTCTCATTTTTTTTAATTGAAATTTTTATCAAGTTGCCATTCTTTATATTATTGACTGCCGAATAAATATAATCTTTCACTGACTCTATGCAAATAGCTTAATACTTAAAAAAAGTGTTTTTTTTGTTTGGTCTTGTAGTTGGAGCATATTTATATTAAATGCAATCGTATATTTATGTATTGTTCACAATGGGTAAAATACTTTGAAGATGTATTTCGTTATATAAGCTACATTGCATTTTAAAAATATTTTAGTGCTTTGACCATCTCTGACTGCGCACAACTTTTGGTACTTTTAAATTTTACATGGTTTTAAGAGAAAGTGAAAATTAAAAGTAACATCTAACGAAACTCAATTTTTTTTAATATATCTTATGTATTTAACATTGATGAAACTTTTATCCAGACTTGATTCCATATCTCTACCACAGAGTCCTCTAGATCCTTTCCCCACCACCATAATATCCCCCTCCCCTCCTATGACAAAATTATAAAATGGATACTGATTATGTATGTTGTTTATACTATGAGATTACCCCTTAAAATTTCAATAAAACTATTGATAACCCTTTCTCCCGTATTGGAAAGTTTGCTAGAAATATAAATCCCTCCCTTTCATCCTATCAATGGCAATTTTCACGATTTGTTAAAAAAAAATTATTAAAATTTTAATTAAAGGGGGAAGTGGGATATTAATTTTAAATGTAGGTTTAATGTTATTAGCAATTCTCGTATATTATTATTTACCACATCACTCTCTGTCCTCCCTTTAAATATATAAAGCCAACGAAATGACAGGCTCCCACGTTGATTGTCAGGACGAGGCCTTAATGAGCCGAATCAGTGACGCCTTTAACAGCAAACTCATATTCCCTCCCGACGAAATCAAAATGGCATACACTATTAGGGATCCCGTCATTAACAGTACATGCATAGACATATATATAAAATATCAGTATTTTTTTTAAATAAATGACATAAATAAATATTTATTCCTCTCGGGTATCAAGATATATGCGGCATAGATAGACCCAGGGGTTTCGCATCCGCTGTCAACGTTCGTTCGCGATGCTGGGACGCCCGCATTGTTATAGATGGCGGTTATTCCTACACTTTTAACGACGGAGCCTTGGCCAAGCTTACCTTAGACCCTTCTAACGCTCTTCTAACTGTTAACCTAACTTAAAAAAGTAATAACTATTATTTCCCTTAATTTACATATAGCTAATTGTTACATACATTATATATGGTGGGGGAGGGCATTGTATAGGAGTCTATTCAGCACTCTTAAATGATAATCTTTAGAGATTTCGCAGCAAAATAATAAGCATTATTTATTTGAATTTATAAATTTAACTTTAAAAAAAATTGCTTCTTAGATTCCTTACCAAAACTCAACGTGGTGGATACCATGATATTTCAGCCTTTCCGCCAAAGCTCAAACTCTTATAGTTGCCCATAACTATTAATTTTTAAACCTATATATTTTTTTAAGAAAAAAATCCTTTAAATTGAGAACATATAGATAATTATATTTCCCAATATATTTCTGGTCTTTCATTTTTTTATTCTTAGGAATTCCAATTTTTTTTTATAGTTCTATTAATTTCCATTTAATCCTTCTATCTTCATCATTTTTATTTTAAATGTAACCCTTAATATTTAAAAAATAATTTTTAAATGTTTTTATTTTGCATTTTATGTTTTATATTATAAGACTAATATAAAGGTACACTGTATATATATCTTGCAATTCCTTTAAAGAAGAAAAAATATCGCAATTCCATTTTTAAAATTTTTTTCTTCTATTTTTATCCCAAAAAGACAAGAAAAACGTAGTCAAATTTTTATTTAATTTTTATATTAAAAAAAATTTTATAAGTGAAAATAAGTGTATATTTTAATATTTATAAATTATTATTATGATATCTAAAGCAATTTAACCCGAATCTTTTTTAATAGAAGAAAAATATACTGTTATTCAATAAACATTTATAATATTAATAACACAAAATACTAAATTTTTTGTTTATAACAACCCTTATTTAATAAATAAATACAAAGCTAAATATTGGTTCATTTTCCATAAATATTTTAAATATAAGGGAACATACCAGGGAATTTAGGTCGGAAAATTCGAAATTCCTGTAAACTATTCACTTAATTCCTAACGTTTGTAATTTCATTATAAATTTTTCTGGTTGTCTTGATTTCGTTTAAGAAATCCTATTTAGTATATCCTAATATATTAAAGACGCTTTTTACAGAATAAAGAATTTTAGATTGGTAATTTTATAAGTTATTTAGTCTGATTTTTGTAAGTTTAATGTTCGAATTTTAATATTTTTTTTGAAAGATCAAAACAAGAGAACTAGTCAATGAAACTATAATTCGTGATTAATTTTATTTATTATTTGATTATAGTTGAATATTAAGGGTAATATTAAAAATGGTAGGAATGAAAACAGTTAATGATGGGTCTAATTATTTGTAGCTCAAAACAGACGATTGGGCTTAATCTTTCAAATATTATTACCCATCATATTATAATATATGTTAAAAAAATATATATTTTGTGTTTTCAAATATCTATCCTCGTCCAATAAAAGAAATTCATAGTTAGGCCTTCCTAGGTATAAATCCATCTTAATCAATTAAATATATTCAACTTAAAACATAGTATTCTTAAAATTAAAATATACATGAATCCAATTTTTATGTCAAATATCTTTTATTATGGGAATAATAACTAATCTTCACCGCAAAATAAGAATTTTTTTTTTTTTTTAAATATATAAAATAATAATTTTGTCTTAGAAATAATATTAAATTTTAAAAACATTTTGAAAAATAAAAAAACTATTTTTTAAAAAAAATTATAATAAATATCATGAATATGATTTTCTAGAACATTTATCGCTATTTCTTTAGGCCGTAGCCTTTACAGGGGCTTGTTTAGCTACCGCTTCTTCCGCTAGTCTTTCAATCTCCTTGTAGTCTATATCGCGCTCCAAAAAGTAGCCCGGTTGAGCGTGGATAAATATTACGCCTTGTTTTATTTTGAAAAAAATATTGAATTTATATGGGAAAAATTAAATTTATTTTTAAATATATATTTGTGAATTGCAGAAACGGCTCATTCTTATGTTCGGTGTCAAAAAATAATCCCGCCAAATCCGACTCGAGTAAATTTATTTTTAGTTTTCTTCCTTGAATCATTCATTCTACTAAATTTTTTGGTTTGATTTTTTAGAAAGGAATATATAAATTTGTAGCCACCTCAAACTATCTTAATACCGTTATTTTTCAAGAATACCAGCGATGATGAGGATTTTTTTAATCAAGTTTTACAGCTCGACCCGTATAATATAAGGGTCGGTGACAAGATAAAAATGTCCTTGAATTATATAAAAAAAATTAAATAAGGAATGCTGGCTGAGATTTGTTTTTTATATGATATGGCCGAGGGGGTAAGTTAGTTTATAAGATAGTCTAAAGATGGTAATTCCTTTCCCTATTTCGGAAAGTGGTAGATTTAACTCATCTAAGAAGTTTTTTAATAATTTTCTGCACCAAATTACATAAATCCTTAAATCATTGAAATAAATAAGTTTTGTTATACCTTTATCCCTGAGTTCTTTGGCGAATTGATGAACTTTTTCCGAATCTTTGACAGAATCATGGCCCCCTATTACTATCAAAAATTTCTTCTTCATGGAACCTTTAAACATATCGAGTACGGCTTTGATGGCTGTGTCCATCTTGTTTGGAAGATTTTCTTTTTATTCGAAAAAAAATTATTAAGGGACTACAATTTTATATGTATAGCTTAGTTGCCTCATTTTAAATCTTATAACCGGATGATTCGACGAAAACGATTTTTCTGTTTGATTTTTATCATAAAAAAGTTGGATTGAGGAAAATGGCACTTCCATGGGGGAAAAAAATTATAAGTTATATGAATATTATTAAAGGAAACAAAATGGTTTAGTATTTCGTTGTCCGTGTCTTACTCGCCCTAAAACAATAATTCTAATTTAACATCCAGTTAACAGGGATTCGATGAAGTTCAATAATAACTTGAAATAAAAACCTCATATGACTTAGTGTATTAAATTAAAGTCTTCTACTCCAAAAGGGGATATGACATAAGATCAGCATTGAAGTAGGAGGGGGGGGGGGTATTTTTGAGGAGGATTATAGTTTCATTGACTTAGGTGGGGGGGGGGCAAGGAATAGGGTGTAGACGTCCATGATTAAATTGTATAGCATTATTTGCCTTGGGTTACTGAATAGTTGCATCATACTTATACGATATAAAAGATTCAAAAAAAAATATATATAACATTCTCAGGCTTAAGATTAATGGTAATTTTTTTTAAAAAATTACTAATAATTTTGAAGTTTTTATGTTTGGTTAGGGTAATAATTATTATATTTTAAACAGTATAATTTAATTATATTTTTCAAAAAAGCAAAGGAAAGAAAGATTTATTTATAATTTACTTCCATCGATCATTTTGGAACTGAATTTTCCGTTGATAAAAGAGATAACTAAGATGTTTCCATCTTTAGTACTTACCACCTTTTGAGGTGGGAACCCAGTTGGGCTCTTTTTGCCCATGCTTTCTGTCATTTCCGCTGTATGTATAGCGGCCTCATCCAAGTCCTTTATTATTATGTAAATAAGATTATTATAAAATTACCTTATTTAAAAAAATTGATTTTTTATAATAGAAAGCCAAACCAATTTTTGGCCTTAATCCTGGCCGTAAAAATTTTTTTTAAGAGACCAGGATTAGATATCTTTACATGTCTCATGCTTTGGATTGGTTTGAATTTTCGCAAAAATGATTGAATAATATAATGATGGATATCAAAATATAATTTAAACCCCAAAACTCTTTGTTCCGTTAGCGAAAGTTCTAGTGGTTAACATTTCTGGGGCATCTATTATAACTACTACATCTACTTTATTATTTTCAGGGACATCCTTCAGAGCTTTAGAATTATATATGGTAAAGAAAACATTTGAATCGCTAGTGTTATAAAAACATAAAATTAGTAAATTCCCATTTAAAAAAAATAACAGAAAATTCAAATCTTTAAAAATTTCCGCGCCAAATATTATTACAATTATAATAAAAAAAATTCTAACATACCTTGTCCTGAGGCGCAGGAGAAGACTATAGCAATAAAAGTGAGAATTGTCAAAGAATTCATCGTATTTTTTCTTTCAATTCTGTTTATAAAAAATTTTTTATTTATTATTCACAAAAAACGGGGTGGGAAAAAAAAATCATTAAAGAAATTTAATCAAAATTTACCTAAAAAATGTTCCAAAAAATTTTTTTTTAAATATCTTTTTTAATGAATAAATTTTTTGTAATTTTCATGCCATAAAAAATCTATCGAGTTAAAATCATAAATTTAAAATTAGAAATATTTTGAAATTTTTTCTTCAAACTCTAATATTAATAAGGAATCAATCAATAATATGAGTTCGATTATTCCTTACAAAAGGCCGATTTAACTCTTGAAATCTAGAGTCATTGGTAGAATCCTCTAGATTAATCGTATACTTTGACACGACCTGACTAACTTATAACACCAGTTTAATAATAAAAAATAAATTAAAAAATTGGATGGTTTTTTTTTCCAAAAATGTTCCTGAAAGATTTCTAAACTAGAATTGAAACGCTAAAAAAAATACTATCATTTTGTCGGAACAAAAATGCCCTATTCTAAGTTATCAAATTAGATGTCTTTTTCTTTAAAAAAAAATTAATTAAATAATTTTAATTTTTGGCTGACTAAATATTGGTTATCATAAATTCGAATAAATTTAATACTTGACAAAAAAAGAGATTATCATCGTTATATTAATTTTTATTGTAATTCTTTACCGAATCGATTACGCACCCCAAATAAATTAATTTAATTTTTTTTTTTTAAAAAAAGCAAAATAAAATGCGCAATAATTATAAGTTTAGACCCTTCTGGCTAAAAACTGAGGAGAGATAGAAATAAAAATTATATTGTCACTGAAAGTCAAATGAAAGTCCTATATCGCTGAAAATCCCGGGTTTAAATTAATTAAGATATTAATAATAAAAGTATCATTCAAAAACTGATGATTCTCGTATATTATAAATGAAAATGACAATTCATCATGGTAATTATAATATTTTTATGAAGAACACAAAAGCTTTAGCTATCCGATGAATAGAGTTATTACTCATTAATGGGCCTACGTGTTGCAGTTAAGTGACGCAAAATAGCTCCATTTGAGCCGATTTTTAAAAACGGCTAACTCAATATTTCATCCAGAAAATATAACGCAAGCCTGACGATAGATCCCACAAAGGTTTGGGCATACATTTACGAAATCTCGAGGCTTAAGCAATATTATTTTTTTTGGCTAAAATATTGAGTTAGCCGTTTTTAAAAATCGTTTCAAATGGAGCTATACTAATTTTGGTAGGACATAACTAAGGCTTATCGTAGATCGTTCGACATTCGATTGGTAATTAAATTCAAAAAGAATACAAATAATAAATGTTGCTATTCGGAATAGTCTAATTGTATATGAATAATAATATTTAGAAAATTTATGATTTATTAAATTTTACGAAAAGCGGAAATTTGTTGGCAAATAATATTCAAATTATTCGTTGAATTTTAGAATTAGATGAAAATTTTAGTAATTATTTTTAAAGCTACTTGTAATCAAATATTTTATTTATATCTGGAATTTACAATAATGGTTTTTTTTTGATTTATCAAATCATTGCATGATTCTAAAAGAAGAACAAATATAACTCAAATTAATTGAAGATTTTTGATTAATCAGGCGGCATTTACAAATCTTTATATATTATTACAGAAGATACCTTCCGAATCTATTTTTAATTTTATTAAAGGAATAATTAAATATTTGTTAGATTTTTATAATGAGGATGCTATGATATATTCCTTGCTGGTTGCAAACTATGTTATATAAGGTCTCTATGGTTGATAATGTTTTAAAAAAATTCTATTTTTTTTTCTTTACACTAATGAAATCATGAAAAAATGATTTCATTGAAAAGTGAATTTCAGATTATAAATTTATAGTGCTTCTCTTAATTATATTTTTTCTAAAATTTTTTAATACACCATATTTTTTGCTAGAATACTTTGTAAGTTTATATACACAAAGAATATTTTTGTGCATTTTAATCTATATTCTCAAAACCTTTTTAAAATATAATTTAAATTTACATTTCAAATTCGAAATACTTAAAAAATATGTTTTTTTTTTATTAAGTTCCTTTTTGAGACTTTTATTTTATAATAATTCATACGTCGATTATATATGTTAGCGTTTCGGCAATGTATTATTTTTTCAACTTTAAAATAATTATTTGAGCACGTTTCTTTTAAATTTAAGAATCTGATTTTACTAGAAATATATTCCAACATGCTTAGAATATCTTAAGAATTGTAGACAATTTTTCCCCTAAACTTTGAGTCATTTATAAATTTATATAAAAAATTTGTGGAAAAACAAATATAAATTATATTAAGTTCCTGGGAAAAATCGTCTGAATTTCATAGGGTAAGAGGCATTCCAAACATGATAAAATACATTTCTATTAAAATTAAATTTTTAAATTAAAAAAAAACGTGCTCAAATATGATTTAAATTCAAAAAAATAACACATTGACACTAACATTTACATTAAATCATTTAATTTATATTTGAATTTATGTATTAGAAATTGTCAATAATTTGTAAGTCACTAGCCTTAATAATTTTATAAAATTTAAGATATTTTTAAATAATCCTATATGCAACGGGAGCCTTCGCTTTAAATTCCAATTTGCACATCGATTGGATTTATATATTTTTTTTAAATCATACATTTTAAGAACTGGATTAGCTCGAACTGGTTTTCTTCTAATTTAGAATACCGGTTCGTAAGACATCGTAAAAATTTAGCAACGAATTCGCGTGAACCGTTGCGAACCACATTTGACTAAGCGCCAGTTAACAAAGTTTATTATAATCTATTTAATGTAAACATAATTAGTAAACAAAATTATCTTACTAATTGTCTTCTTTTTTTCTTCTTCAATATATAATTTTTTTTTTTTACTTTTGTGAATGACAAAAATTTTTTATAATATTTTGTTATTTTATTTTTAAATTATTTTTATACCTATGAAATCGTGATAGGTAAAGGGGAATCTCTCGTTTGGATTATGTCAAGGTGAAATGTATCTTCTAGCATCGTTTTGTTTTTGAAGATTTTGCCAAGTCATTAAAATTTAAAAATAACTTTTCCATTTGAAATTTTTCCTTAAATTAATAAATAAATGAATGAATCGTTAAAATAATTTGAAAAACAGGAGGAGAAGTAAAAAGGGGGGGGGGGTGTAGGTAATTTATGGCATGGTAGAATGAAATTACTTATCCTTGAAATTAACTCACCTTAAAGTATAACAAATAAGTTGACTAATTCCTTGCAAATTATTTTTTAAATATTTTTTTTTTTGAAAAGATAGAATAATTGTTTAACTTTTTTTTGAATATCAAATTTTAAATGAAATTACTTAATTTATTCGTTGGAATTCAAATATTCTTAGTGAGTTATGGAGTTCTTATGACTATCCTCAACAGCTTAATTCCCTTCCAAGAGGCAGCTGGAGGCAATGTAGGAGACGCTAATTCAAAAGATTCGATGCTAATATTTCTCGGGGCGGACGCCCGGTATGATGGATGTGGTTATTATGGATGTGGTCGCAGATACAGAAGACCATATCGTCGTTACCCTCGTCCTTATTACCCTCCTTATTACCCTCGCCCTTATTACCCTCCCCCTCCCGTTTATTACCCTCCCCCTCCCGTTTATTACCCTCCCCCATATGGATAAAACAAATAGCTTTGATGACCAACATGGAGGGCTTACGTGGAATCATTATTATTTATTATAATCAAACCTTTATGTGTTCGTTTTTGGTTATCTAATATATAAATCTGATTTATTATTATTATTATACTAATAAAAGAAAATTATTATTATTATACTAATAAAAGAATATTATTGAACTAAATCCATAAATGGCCTTTAATAGTTAGATAATTCTTCAATCTCTAATAATCAAAACACAAAAAAAACATATAAACTGATTATAGAACCACTATTTAATGAAGGAGTTATAAATCATTGGCAGAAGGAATATGAGAAAAGCTTGCCCAGCTTCTCTAAATTAGATTGATCAAACCTAAAATCTTTATCATTTAAGCAACCCTTTATTAAAATAAAAGTACATAATATTTTTTAATTAAGCACCTCAATTTATTATTTTTTTAAATATATTTTTTAAGAGGGGGGGGGGGGGTAAACTAAAATATCTAAAGCTAAGGCGTTATGCCACTGGTATAAATAACGTTATGTTAGATTAGAAGAACGTTCAAAATTATTAGAATATTTTATTTGAGGAAAAGAATGTGTTAATCTTTATATTACTGTATCGGTGTATGGTCCCTTTTATTCCATATGCTTAGTGAAATTATTATAACTTTGATCTAATCTCGTAAAGCATAGTAAAAAGAATGATTAACATAGGATTGAAAATCCTATGAGGTTGGTAACTAGGGATCAGGATTTCTATCTACAATATTTGTCGAGGGAAACCATCAAACATAATCAAATAAGTAAAAGATATTTACACGGTTAAAATGCTATGTATATATAGGGGAAATGAGCCATAAATGGCCATGTGTGAAGACTGGCCACCATCCTTTAACTTTTTATCTAATGGATCAATTTCTCTCATAATTGGCCAAAGTGTGTATATTTATGATATGTACCTTACCTAAGTTCATTTATTGAATAGAGCAATTCAATAAAAAAATATTTCAAACAAACTGTTTTTAGTACATTTTTCTGGAAAAATCACGTTACATATTTTTTGTTTGGGAAAAGATTACTCATTTAGATTACTGATATTTTATATAAATATTATCCTTAGGCATAGTATTATTCACACAAAAAATTATAAAAGCTTTATTTAATAGACATATAAAGGCGCTTAATAATAATAGAGCGGTGAGTATTGATTGGCCATGTATTGCTTGGCCACAATTCGCACATTTACATATCATATTAAAATGAAAATCTTGCAAAACAACATTTGGTGAAAAAAAGGATGAACAAGCTTAAGAATGTATAGTAAAATGATAATTAAGATATTAATTTATAATATTATCATAAAATAGATAATTGAGATTTTAATACTAATGAAATTATTGTATATAATTAATTTTTTATATAACTAAATGTTATTAATATATCTTTTACAAATATTTCATATTATATTATTTCATATTTATAATAAAATTCTTTAATATATTATGGCCATTAACACATAGTATATGGCCAGTCAATATATAAGAAAAACAACTCTCACATAATCTAATTTAGCTCATAAAGTATTATACATAAGCTTTGATTCAAATTTTATTTAAAAGATTAATATTTAGGCTACACAAAGATATAAAATTTGTTTGGTTAAACATAAATTTTATTACTTTTTTTAAAAAAAGCAAAAACATGGCTATTCATGGCATATTTCCCCTATATACTGACATACTCGTATTAGATCTATATTCAGATCTATGATTTTTCTTTAGGAAGTAGGGAGGGGTCAAATGTCTAGTTGGTAACCCTTAAATTCGTCAATGTTTATATTTATTAAAGTAGTATGATATGGATTACAGATATTTATTTTATTTTATAAACATCACAAATATTAGATTTATAAACTCAAACAAAATAATGGATTATAAATTTTTTTTAACCTCTATCCCGTAAAAGATAAAATAATGATTAAAAAAACTTCCATTAATTCTTTTCGGCAGATACATTAAATTATAATGTAGTTCATTTAACTGTGCTAAATAACTCTTCCCTTCTCTCCAGATAAAAGAGATGATGATCACCAGGTAGGAAGCCACTACTGCCTCACTTACTTATAACAACGATGGCTAAAAATGCGATTATCCAGCTGGAACGCGAGAATTTAAGAAGAGAATTTATAAAATTGTATTCAAGATATGACAATATGGAGTAATTTGGCCTTACTTTCTAGGCAAACAGTATATGGTTGAATTAAAACTGGGCCTGAAAGTTGAATCAAAGAAGCGAGATCGGGCTAATTTCGTACGAAATATTTTTAAGCAACTAAGGCTAAATAAAAGATGATTGAATCTAATAACGAAGGCCACTCTTAAAATATCATAAGTTATTTCCCGCTAATTGGTTGTAAAGAAGTAAAAAAAAAGATGAACAATTTTTTAAGCGTTATGTCTAATAAATGAAAGTTTATGAAGCGGAGCACATATTATTGCAAATTAGATAATTGAAGGAACATGGAACGATAAAAGCAACAGCTGTAAATGGAATAACTGGTGGAATCATGCTGTGAGGCTAATAATCGTTGAAAATAAGAAGGGCAATATATATTAAAGGTAGAAAAATATTTGTGAGACAAGAAGAACAACCAATCGAATTTAAAAAATTCCATAGAAAAGCTTTACCAAGAAATATTACAGTGCAACAGGGTTCAGCAAAGAAATAGAAACTAGTCATAGTAATTGAGCTTGATGGGATTATCAACTGTCAAAAACAAGGCTCATACTTCGGAAATTGAGCGATATCACGATTTTTTTTTCCTATAGCGCTTGGGGAATCATATTATACATAAAAAATAATTTTTTTCAATAGTTGCTGTGGCTCAGAATTATAAAACCTGGCTAAAGCGCAGGCAGGCTATTTTGGCACAGATTTTCCCGGATTGGGACAATCTTTTTTCTGAGACCAATCAATTGGAAGCTTTGACTTTCAAAAGAGGGTGCAATTAGAAGGATTGGAATATTGGTTAGGGTTTGTTTTATCTAAAAAAAATTTTGATAAAATTTGTAATTGTTGAGTAAATTAATATTTGGGGTCCCAATTTTCGGACATCAGTAGCCCAAAAACAATCGGTTGAAATATGAATATTAACTAAATTGTAAATCAACGACAAGATATGGAATAATTGTGGAAAAGGCTCGATTACACTTTTTCATATAGCTCAAACTATGATTTTGAATATCCTGACTAGTGTTGTTAAACTACCTAACTTTAGTCAACTATAAAACAGCGTAGCCATATTTTTATCTAAAAATATTCAGATCAATATTCAAGTTGAGACTCAACTTAGAAGCCTAATTCAATTTTTTAGGCTAAAAGCTTGACTAAGACATGAGAGAGATGGTCAAAGTTAAGAAATTTAACAATACTAATCCTGACTGATCATTCACTAGTTTCTGAATATTCTAACCAGAGTTTAAAACCTGAACTAAAAAGAATTTGGTTCCGCTTCCTTTAGTTCTAAAGGGGATTTCCTTTCTTACATTTTAATGGGTTCCTAGGGTCTGGGTTACTAGTTCTAGTTTCAAACATAAGTGCTAACACCCTTTCTGGAACTATAATGGAAGTATATTTGAAGTTGAGGTGCGTCAAGTTTTTCGTTGACATATACTATTTAATTCTCATATCATCAGGAGCGTAATTATTCTTTTAAATAGGCCTCAATAGGTTGCAGAAACCTTTGAAGACTTAAAGAATCTATTATAAACTTTTGTTCCAAGCATTGGCGTACGCAGTGGGGGGGGGGACAAATCCCCCTTCCCCCAAAGCCAAAAAATGCAGATGCCGGATATATTTTTCAAAAATATTATTGTTTAAATTAATTTATATTTGTTAATATTTATTCGTTTATTATCACATTTATCTACTAAGTTATTTTATCAATTTATTTCGATTTCAAGTTTTCCGGCGTAATACTTACTTATTATTGTCAAATTTTTAGTGGCGTAATATTTATCTACCATTTTCAAATTTCTAGTCAAATAATTATTATTTCTGAAACTTCTTGTCCAACAGGGAAAAAGAAATTGCAACCTTGTCCAAAGAGATAGAGTCTCTGCCATCAAGCAGTAACAGCTTATAAGGAGTTAGAAGAGCCAATTATTTGCTATTACTGAAATATCACAATGGCCTGAAAGAAATATTTCCTGAAGCAAGAAAATTATTGGATTCAATGCTTATTACAAATTTTATTTCTCATTAGAATGTATTATTTAATTATACAACTATTTTAAGTATTACTTTTCAAAAACATGACATTGACTTGGTTAAGAAGATGAGAATAACGGAGGGATCAGAACTCAAGGAAATTAGGGCTAATGTTGATGAAGAATTTCATATTTTATATTTTATTGTTGAGTCAAAAGCAGAGCTTTACGTGTTTAATATTTGTCTCCCTCGACTTGTAGCAAGGCAAGCTCATCGTTAAAACATTAATATAGGATAAATAGAAGAGTATATCTTAAATACAGATACATTTATAACCTAAATAAATGAATTTTTAATTCATCATGCAGCACTTACATCTGCAAATATTACTTCCACAAAAGCCTTCCCAATCTTTTTCAGATGGTGATGGGGAAAAAATATTTGTTAGATTTTTATTATGAAGATGTTAAAGTATCTTATGATGCCTTACTAGCTGAATAATTATGTTTATAAGATTAACAATGGTTGATATAGTCCCAAAAAATGCTATGGATGTTCTGCAATATTTCAAACACATTTTAGATTAAATTCCCAATGTATTAAAAGGGTTTATGAACTCTTCCCATTAGTAAACTAATGAGAGAACAATCTCTTTTTTAAGAAGAATAACAGAGGCCTGCAGAAGTACCATTTGCAGGGCACTGCCCGGATTTTTTTTAAAGATTTTTTACGGCCTGGCCTGAGTTATTCTTAAAAAATTTTCAGACCCGGCCCGGCTTTTTTTAAAAAATTTTTAGGCCCGACTCGGCTTTTTTTTTAAATTTTCAGGCCCGGCCCGGCTTTTTTTAAAATAAAATTTTCAGGC